TGTCGCGCAATGCATGGTCGCGTTTTTTTTTTTTTTTTTTTTCATGGGATAAAAACGTTTCGCACGTTTGTAATTATAGGTTTTGTTTGATGTTTAGGGCATGTAGGCGCTAAAGCTCACAGAGCTTTTATTGATTGTGTCCGCAAAAAGCTAAAGCTAAGCTTTGTAGTACATGAACTAGGTATTCACACAATCTGTTAGCAGGTTTTAGGGTAGATCGTATTTTCACGCTGTGCAGCTAATGTGGCCGAAATTTCTATACTCAGTGATGTGAATGGCCCGAGTCGTTTTTGGAGCACCTTTTGGAGCATAGGCACTTTAATTCATTCCTACCACTGCATATATGTCAAGATTGATGTATTGGCCTCATTAAAATGACCAAATGTATTGCATGGAATTGGTGTGGAAGTTCTTAAGGTTGTAATAAAACTGAAGTTCTTGCGGTTGTAATAAAACTGAAGTTCTCAAACAAAAACAAAAAAAAAAGCTTTGCCATTTGGTTATGAGCACCAGTGATATTTTATATGTAGAGCTTTGTGATAACAAAAATCGGCATGCGAACAATACATATGCATTCTTAAAACCCAGCCAAACTCATTAAAGTTATCAGTTTCCACCCACTGCCCCAGTTAATCTAGTTTTCATTTACTCCATTCGCTGTGGCACTGCACAGATAGAACTTAAATAAAGGTGATAACTATACAAAAAAGACGACATAAACAATCAAATCTAGAAAACAGACCGTATAAATTTTCTCGCATACCCAAGTATCATTACTAAATCTCAAATTTAAAAGAATTAAAAATTGTTTCAATATTGTTAATTGTTTATTATATATACAAGCCGCCTGCACTTCTGTATTTCACTAAAGCGAAGGTTTCGCGGGATTTCCGAGGTCAAATGTGGGTGATTCCACGTCAATTCATGCAATGATGGTCCGGGTCATATTTTAGATATTTTTGTTAAAAATATACATGAAAGCCATGTTTTTGGGAGGAACATTCAGCTAGATATGAACGCCGTAGCAATTTTTTTCGCTGAGATATAAAATAGAGAAGCTTGAGGCGTGGAAATTGAGAAGATTTCACAATGCTAATTTGCACAGTCGTCATTTCCGTATCGAACCTTTCACGGCACCATAAATTTTTTAATACATTTTACAAAGGTTATACAACACATACATAAAAAATTAAAAATATCCATAAAATGCTTCAATGCAAAAAAAAATATCAAACATGACACAAAAACGCGTTTTAGAGACATATTCACAATTTTTTTGCAAATAAACCATCTTTCATAATACTTCACAAAACATATCAAAATGCGCGTATTTAAATATTCTTTACGAATATATAAAGGTAACATGTCCACCCCTAAACATATTTTTGTTATCAACGCGGAAATTCGGCTGATTTCTCAAAATGTGGCAAGATTGGGCGTCGATATTTAAAAAACTCCATCTTTTATTTTCTTTAAACTCCCCTTGGCACTTTGCAGCGACTTGAACTAACCTGTGATGGCAAAAGATTGAGTAACGTATGACCTCCAAGCGGGAAAAGCTACGACAAACCTTCACTCGGAGCGAGCCGACGTCTTCGTCATAGCGGCTTTGCCGCACAGCACCAAACGTTTTGAGCGTTAGTTATGGCATGCATTTTATATCATTAAAATTCTTTTTTTCATAAGGGCTGAGTATTAGTGACGCGAAAATGGACTTTGAGCTGGAATACCATTAATTAGCTTACAATTCACAGGAACAAAACGGCCCCACTGTGCGAATTCGCTAACTATGCATAGATAAGCTTAAAACTCTCAGTTATGCGAGTGGCCATGTATACATCCGACCTCTCGGCATATGATGACTTCCACAGATGAGAAGCCTGGATTCCTCTCACAGGTTTTATGGTGGTCCACTCTGCTTGCTTTACCGCACGAAACTCTCGAACCCGTTCCACAGACAGGTGGAACATGCAGACATTTGTTACATTTTTACGTAGCACTTCCGCAAAGTCTTTAGCGGTGGCAATTGTTGAGTTGAGCGAAGATCTCAACTTGGTGAGCGTTGGTTCTTCCACCTACTTCATCACAAGCGCTTTCTCCGTGTCCAGTGGCTGAAAAGATCCATCTTGCCGAAGAGTGCGGCTTCCGAGACAATTCGTGGAATTGGAAGCGATTCTTGAAATGCGCCGCCGCTCCGTCTGATACAAAAAATATTTAAAAAAAGACTGGGAAATGAACATTAACATACTCTTTTATGGCCTATGTGGCTAGAAGAGCGTGAGCTGTGTCATGTGTCGTGTACCATCGGTGACAACGGCAAAGCTTTGTGTGCCTTGCGTGGACGTAACCACACTTGTGGAGAGAGACACTTGAGTTTTTTTTCAATGAAAACTCTGCACTTCGGTTGGAAAGAGTACTGTCCATTTGTCCGCAAAATCAAAGTGGAACATCACTGCCTTGGGTGGTAAGGCGGTTCTTGTGTCATGTATCAGGCTTCGTTCAAGGTCAAGGATGTAAGAATGCCTCATATACTTTTCGCTCTCCTATTGCCGCAGGAAGGCAGAAGTGTCCATAACCTTTTTGACGAGTTCGCCAGCGTCCCATAACGCGAAACAGATCTCTTCGTCTTCGTCGAGATGAAGCGACTGCAGCGAGATGCTCTGCGTTTTTGGGCACTTTTCGCAACGGCGCAGAAAGCAATCGTTCTGTGGAGCGCAGAAGAGGTAGATGCGCTTGAGGTCGTCTTCAGTAAATGTCTTCTTTTGGGCATTTGTTATTGCCGTTAAAAGCAACTGAAAATTGACGCAATATATGCATGCGCACACCTCGTGCTCGGGACTTTTTTTTTACCCATTTTGGTCGTAGGGAATAAAATTTGGAGATGCCTAGTTCGGGTTGGGGATGGTCCTTCCTAAACAGCTGGTAAGCTTCCTTAATAGAGCGGGTCATAAACCTTTTTACGACTTTGAACATGTCGTTGATCATGGCTTTGACGACGTCCTTTTTGTCGGGGCTTTGAACAGAGCATGCGAGGTCGTCGCGTGTGTAGTACTCAATTGCAGCCCCCACGTCTTCGGCATTCGCCTTTTTCCCCATGTAGGGATCAGGGGTTGCCCAAACACCACCTTTGCGCTTCAGTTTTCATGTTTGATCAATCATGTAGGCAGTCGCACCCGACACCAGACGCAATATTGTTTTCTTCAGGATGATTGGTGGCAGAAGCACGTACAATCGCCTGCGTTCCTGGTGGGAACTACATGCCTTCAGCACTTCGCAAAACGCGTCAAACCACTCTGCGCAGTGCTCACAACTGTCTTCGAGTTCGAGAGTTTCGTGCGGTGAAGCAAGCAAAGTGGACTACCGTAAAACCTGTCAAAGGAATCCAGGAAACTCATCTGTGAAAGTCATCATATGCCGAGAGGCCAGATGTATAAATGGCCATTCGCGCAACTGAGAGTTTTAAGCTTATGTATGATGCATAGGTAGCGAATTTGCAGAGTGGGGCAGTTTTATTCCTGTGAATTGTAAGCTAATTAATGGTATTCCAGCTCAAAGTTCCTTTTCACGTCACTAATACTCACCGCGTATAAAAAAATAATTTTAATAATATAAAATACATGCCATAACTAACGCCCAAACGTTTGGTGCTGTGCGGCAAAGCCGCTATGACGAAGACGTCGGCTCGCTCCGAGTGAAGGTTTGTCGTAGCTTTTCCCGCTTGGAGGTCATATGTTACTCAATCTTTTGCCATCACAGGTTAGTTCAGGTCACTGCAAAGTGCCACGGGGAGTTTAAAGAAAATAAAAGATGGAGTTTTTTAAATATCGACGCCCAATCTTGCCACATTTTGAGAAATCAGCCGAATTTCCGAGTTGATAACAAAAATATGTTTAAGGGTGGGCATAGTATCTTTATATATTCGTAAAGAATATTTATATACGCGCATTTTGATATGTTTTGTGAAGTATTATGAAAGATGGTTTATTTGCAAAAAAATTGTGAATATGTCTCTAAAACGCGTTTTTGTGCCATGTTTGATATTTTTGTTTGCATTGAAATATTTTATGGATATTTTTAATTTTTTATGTATGTGTTGTATAACCTTTGTAAAACCTATTAAAAAAGTTATGGTGCCGTGAAAGGTTCGATAAGGAAATGACGACTGTGCAAAGTAGCATTGTGAAATCTTCTCAATTTCCACGCCTCAAGCTTCTCTATTTTATATCTCAGCGAAAGAAATTGTTACGGCGTTCATATCTAGCTGAATGTTTCTCCCAAGAACATGGCTTTCATATATATTTTTATCAAAAATATCTAAATTATGACCCGGACCATCATTGCATGAACTGACGTGGAATCACCCATGTGCATAATACCCATGAGAAATGGTCGTTCATGATGTTGACAAAAGTTTTTCACGCCAAGAAAGAAAGGATGATGCACGAGAGAAATAGAAAATATGCGGGACTGCCAAGTCTCCACTGCTACCCAATAGATGGCGCCAGTGTGTCCTCTCTTCGTAAGAGGTATTAAGAGGTTCCAAGGCACTCGGTCTTCAGAAGTTGCGAGTCTGTGAACGGGCCTCAAATCGCCAAAACAGACCACGAACACCAGAAGTATTGCGAGACTTTGAAATACCGTCTGTGTTAGACACCGATAACAAATCGTTATTTGAGACGATAATCAAAGGTCTTGAAAATTCGCACAAGCCTACCGTAACGATCGTCTATTACATTTTTAGTAATAATAAAGTAAAATTATGTTTTAGCGCAATGCCGGTGCAAATTCATCATATTTTGGCAAAATGTAGCAAGATGTAGCAGGTTAAGAACTTTGGCCACAGCGATCACATCACCGTATTCTGCAATTATCAACCATGTATCAATTTCGTTGCATTTTCGAAGACCTAGAGTTAGCAAGGATTTACTCAGTCCAGAAAACAGGATGGAAGCAAGCCACAGTCACTGACATCTTCTAAAAGAACTTCCCACACATTGTTTTTGTGCAAACTGGCTTGATCATTTTTATTTATTTATTTATTTATTTTTTCAACCAGTCCACACATACTAAGCACTCCTTGCCAGAGTGCCGAGTTCGTCCTAAGTGGGCTTAACCGTGACCATTCTCTCAATTCAAAGGGCTGCAAATAAAATGGGCACACTTTTCAAAAACAAGAAAACAAATAAATAGTGACCGGACCTCGTAAAGATGCAGCCGTTCTAAAAACACTGAGTGCCTCCAAGAATGCAAGCAAGTTACCGCATTTTCCAGACCAGAGTCCTAAGGCTATACATGTCTAAAAGATGCAATTGTCTGCAGTGCGGACTACTCACAAATGCAAATTATACAAAAAACATTTTTTTCCTTCTTTCAAAACTGTTGATTGATTGATGGATTCTGTGAATTACAGTTATGTCCACAATGATTTCTCTGTCATAAGACATCCTTCTGCACCAATAAACCAGGCATTATTCAAGTTTTCAAGGAAGCAATTATGGAATACAAAACTAGGTGCCCACCTGGTTAGAATACCCATTATTTTATTCCTTATGTTACCCCAAAATTAGTTACGGTATTTTGGCTTGGTGAACGACGAGTGGCAAGCTATAATAAACCTACCTTTTTGCAGAAAAAAAATCTTACGAACGTGAAAATTAAAAAGGGGATACCAGAAATTTAAGCACATAGGCGCTCGTCATCAAATATAATATGCTTAAGGCAGACCAAGTATATTACTTCAGACTTTTACAACCGATACATAAAAATAGACTTTACACCGCACCAACAGACAGCCCACGTGCATATGCTATGAGAAACCCAAAACAAAAGATGCGGGCCATAAGAACCAACTATGGCCGACAAACTTAACTTTCCAAACAACTGAAACTCAAAATAGAATGGATGCATAAACATTAACTTTAATAATGTGTTTTCTAGTTTTAAAATTGATTGCAGAAGGTTCTTGGTTGGCAGTGCATTAAGAACCTCACTATATGTATAGCTAATTTCAAGCTTTCATTGTAATGCCATCTGAATTTGTTGCTGTGACCCAGATGTCGGATAAATAAGAATGCATTCTATTTTTCTTATTTTTGGTTTTTCACACATTTACCAATGTTTATAGGATTCTTTTACCAAATGAATGTAGTGTCAATTTTCTTTTGTTACTTTGACTTTTGTTTTTTAAAATTGTGTAATGTTTTTGTAGAAGTGTTATTACATAACTATATTGAGCTGCTGAACTTAAGGGGTCAGAGGCTTCTTCAGGCACCATGCCTTTATCTCTACACCCTATGCAGCAAACCCGCAAAACAATAAATACAACAAAGGTGTGACGTGTAGAAGAATTTGTTTAACATACAAAATACAGTGCAAACTATGCACTGGTTGCAAACTTTTCAAAGAAAAACATTTCCTTTCTCAGTCGAAATTTACCCCTGCAGGCAATACACCGGGGACAAACTATAGTTAGGAAAATACGGTAAACTTAAGCCCTCCATCGAAGAGGCTAAATGCAAAACGGCTCCGATCACAACCTACTTTCTTGAAAGACTGCCCCGTTTTATTCCCAGCCCTTCGTCTCGTGGCAAAGTACACTGCCGTGCATCGAAGTGAGACACTCTGATTCGTGACATCAACAACGCTATGTACACCTTCTAATATACATCCCCCCCTTCAGGCAGCCGTCAGACGTCCGTCTGCTCGGTACCTTCTGTCTTCCGCCGCCTCTTGCTCAGAAACATGAGCAGCATGAGCAACGGCAAGTACACGAGGCTAAGGCGGAAGAGAGTGCGCGAGGTCGCGCTGTCCGGTTCGCGGTAGAACCTCCATGCGCGGAAGAGCAGGTACGCATTGAGTGGCAGGGTGTCCACGGCGAACGTCCACGTCGTGAGGTCCGCCAAGGGGGCGGCCACCGAGCAGAGGAGCAAGAGCGCCACGCTGTGGCGGAGCGCCACGGCGCGGCACAGCTCCGGGTGGGTGACGGACATCATGCGGTAGCCTGCGCGCGAGTAGTCCGGCCGGAGGTTCCACGAGAGGGCGTTGAAGTGCGGGAACTGCCACGAGTAGAGCAGCGCTCCGAGCACCCAGACCCCTGCAGGTTGGGCACGGCAATTTACTAAGATGCACATCGAATTGGAGCGTAGCACCGAAGTTGTCGTTTGTGACGCGGTTATTAGCACTAAAAGGTTTCAGCACAGGGTGGTTCTACGAAATGCCTTTTCCCTTCTGGCAAACCACATTCCTCCGAGTATAACGACGTCTGCCACTTTTACCACTTGGTTACCCGCAGACGCTTAGATGCTGGCATCGTTTTTGGTTTTGGTGAAACGCCGAAGTGTGGCGAGCCGCTCCATTGAAGAGAACTTGGTAAGTATGATCCGAGACGTATCTGGGTTGCATACGTGCGAGCTTAATCGGATTTGCTTTTCGTTGAAGTAGCCCCTCGATTGCCGGCTTGAAAAGTCAGAATAAAGACTAATAGTATGCATAAAAATTGAGCACCAGATGATGCTCCTATGTGTCGCCGATCGCTCCGACAGACGCGGCCGATCCCGACGCAAAAAAAAATCAACCAAGCTGGAAAACGCTACCACGTGCATAGATAGACGCACGGTGCAAGTTCATCCATATGGCGTCCGGTGAGATTTCTAGCCGGAAACAACACATGAAACCGCTCTATATGTTCTGCCATATTATCGTTGTTGAGGTGGCTGTTGTTGAAGGCTATTTCCGCGTGACAATCTTTTTTTTACCAGAATTTCACTAGAAAGCTCGTCGAGGAATCTCCGCCACTGCTGTATGGCAGAACTGCACCAAGTGACTCCGAGAAATTGAGAGGGCCTCTTGAGAGACTCTACAAAAACCCATGAAAGAATAAAAAGACACTTAAGGACAAGGACAGACAGCACAGTTTTTTCAACTAGCAACAAACACTTAGAGACTCTCTCTAGAAGACTCTCTCAGAGCGGTTCCCTTAGAGTGAGAAATTGAGAGACACTCCGAGAAAGAAAAACTGCACATCTTTCCGGAGCACTGTAACCACGGCAACTCACCTGGGTGGTTGAGGGAGCCCGTGGCGGCGGCCCAGCCCATCATGGGGGGTATGGCCCCAACCAGGGAGCCCAGCCAGGTGTTGACAATGGAGCAGCGCTTGAGGGGCGTGTAGCAGCCCACGTACAGGCCCAGGTTGGCTGCCCCCAGCCAGGCCGTCGCGGGGTTCACCCCGAAGGCCAGCAGACTCAGACCCAGGGTCCCGGAGGCGGCAGCAAACGCCACCGCGTGCAAGGGGCTACGCAAGATGGTGCGTGTTGCTTGCACTTTGCAGGCTGCAACTGTGTCGGTCTACAGACCCTTTTTGAAACCCATCCAGCAACATCGGTGGTCGCCACTTCTTGGGCACTAAGCATGCCCTTTCACACACTTGCTGCGTTCAGAGCGACCGCTACGCTTACGAACTAATGCAACCAGTTAGCACAATGAATTACTGCGGCAACAAAGCGCCAAACGGCCGTTTCGTTCGAGTTTGTTTGCAATGCAAGGAGTTGAGCTGGGCTGAACTTTTTCACTAAGTTTGGGAACGAACAAAGCGACCACACCGACAGACGAATCGTAGGTCGAAAAGAGCTTGGCTGCGCACGTTGCATGCCGGTTGCGGTTCCAATTATTTGCAAAAAAACATGCCGTCGGTGGTGATTGTACACGTGGCCAGCGTGATGAAAGCTCATTGTTCCGCGTAGAACGCTATCCTTGACTGTGAATTCTCGTTGTGTGTCGCTATGATAGCCCAGCACGTCCTAAGGGGAGATCCATCTACTCGCATGGTGATGTCGTGGAGGCACCCTCAAGACAGCAGGAACGTTTGTGCCATCATGTTTCTTTACCTCGACTACGGCGGTCCTTTTTTAGTATTTGTGTCCTCTAACATCGCCCGGCTTTCTTATTTTGCACACTCCATGCATGTGCTCAAGTCCAAGGTATTACTGGTGCAACACCACCTTCAAGTGTCGACTTTTAAACCAGTTGCTCAATATTGATGAAATTTGGAGGGTGTATTCATCTCGTTGCCTAAATGCACTCTATGAAATTTCATCTCTGTAGGACTACATTCCGATAAGCAACAGGGGGAGGTACACAGCTATTGATGTAAGTCGCCTCACTTGGCAAGGAAATCTATTGTATAAAATTGCTGGAAAATATTGAGCATTTCTAAACTTCAGCCTTAACTAGAATATATGGTGGGAGGGGGCTATCTATTGTTTACCTTAAAATCTGCGTTTTTTTCTATGTGAAATGTCAATGTGAAAAGCATTCCACATAATGGGGCATTTTCTCCTCATCAAAATTCTACATTTTGGCAAAAAGAATGTTATTTAAATAGAAAACTAAAGTACCTAGCCCCCTTCCTCATTATATTTCAGTTCAGAAACACCCGCAGCAAAGAATACATTCAGCGATTCATTGAAATGATAGATTTCCTAAAGCGAAAGTTGCTGCAAAAAAGTGAAACTGAGAAAAAACAGTTTCCACACCACTACATTTGCTTTTACTGGTGATGGTGGCAACTAAAAGGCACCAAGAGCGTAGATGCTGCCTTCTGCTTACACCCAATCTCCTGCATGGCTTTGCTGAGTGAGTCCAAGCTTAAAACGCTTTCTTTGAGTGCCATTTTGTTGTCGGCATCCGGACATTGATTGTGAAATGAGTGAGGAATTGGGTATGGCTTGCAATACACGAACCAACATCAGCAAGTATGGGCGGGGCAAGCATCATCGAAATGCAAAAGCAGACAAACCCACACGACGTTCTATAAATGAATGATGGTTTTAGTCAGTTCTGTGTTTAATCAGGGCGGGCTTTTCGATTCTTGGCCATATGCATAGCCTCTTCTAAGTGAAAGCTTAGAAGAGGTTCTATGGTGTTCTTGCCTTAATAAAGTTTACTCTCGAGCAAAGATATTTAATGTACTGAAACTGCAAAAAAACGCTCTTTACAACGAGAGTATGATCAACATTCTAGGGCATACCGGTGGAAAGCCACAGCCAGTTTGAAAATAGGAAACAGAAGTTTCACATTTCAAAAACACGTGATTTTGCATCCTTGGCTGAACGAAAATGTTTTACTTCTCTGTAAATACTTCAGATATTGCAATAAAAATTTGCAGGAGTATACACTATTAGTCGTGGAACCACAATACACAAAAATAAAAAAATTTGTTTTTTTCTCTAAAATTGCCATTTCGAGGCGTGTATGAAGGACGTGAATTTTCACGCATTTTATCACCCGAGAAAAGTGATTAGTGCTAGCATTCCTGAACGCTCACAACGTCCATGTGATCACGAAATCGTATCCAAACCTTGCTATATCGCTACTAAAATTAGATTGCCTTCTGTAATCATTGAAAAAGTGCAGTGAAATTTGTACTATAGTAAAACCTCGTTATAACATAATGGGATATAACAAACTATTGGATATAACAAAGCAATCATAATTCCCCTTGCTTGCGAATAGTGGGAAGAAATGGACAGTGGCTATAACAAACTAATGGTTATAACGAAATAATTACAACCGCTCCTTCAACTTTGTTATAACGAGGTTTTACTGTATTGGTAAAGTCATGCCTTAAAGTTGTGATTGTCTAAGACTGCGCGTTACACATTTTTCATTTTTCATCCACTCAGCCCCACAAGCCTATGCTGGAAAAATAAAAATGAATAAAGCTTGAGGCTATAGAAAACTGTTTGTCCATTTTCTGCCACACCAACGAGTGGCAGCAAAACCCCTTCATTTTTAGAGACACCGTGTAACAGCTGACTGCAGCGGAGAAGTGACTGCCGTGATGATGACCTGCTGTGGTTGTTGCAGTGGTTACAGGAGTGTGTACGTGCAGCGCAGAGCTGTTGTTCCTGTTGCTCCGGTCACAATGGATGTAGTCGTAGCTAACGCACTGATTGCAGATGTCTGAACCAGCCTGACTGGACGCGAGTCCTCGCTGAAAGCCAATGCAATCCTCGAGTCCAATATGTGCTCGGAGAATGTGCCAAAACAATGGCAAACTCGAACAACTGGAACAGCAGCTACTAGATGCAACGCACTTTCGAATAAGGTCTGTTAGCGACTTCTTCGAAATCGACGGTACCTAGCGGCTTGAGCGGAAAGCCGTAACGGCAGGTCCGCTTGCCAGCCTTCTCGAGCGAATCAGATCGTTACAGCTGCCTGGCGATCAACGACGAAGTTGCGAAAGTGTGTGCGAAAACACGTGTTTAAAATCGCAAATGCTCGGCATTAACATGTTGATGCCATGTTTTTAAGGCTGGCATGAGGGGAAGCAGACGTGACCCAATGCATCACCACACTGGAAGTGCTAGCCTAACCCTCGACCACCCCTGCCCATAAGTAAATTGATTTTCTAGTTTAGGCACTAACCGAGCAGACCCGAGCCATCCATTGATGCGTAACTATGAGCCACACACTTCCAAGTACTATGTGCATTATTGTTTGAGGTCCGTAGACTTTCGTAGCACTTTGCTACATCAACGCCAGGTTCAAAAGAGATTCGTTGGCTTTGAGTCGAGTCGTACGAGGGTTCCTTCAAATCAATAAGTTTGAGATCTCGTGTATTAGATAATTGAAGAACCTACGCATTGTCTTATTTTTTGCATTGGTAAAATTGACATGATTGACAAATTGACATTGGTAAAAAAGACATGACAATAAAGGCAGGAAATAAGAAAAGACCTGGCGAATCAAAAGTTCTTTGCGCCGGCGGACTGCACCGGCGACGCACCTGAGCACTCCTCGCACCAGAACCCGGTTCTTCGTCCGGTTCATCTGGGAGTCGTACGGAATTTCCAGGAACTGCGGGGAGCAACGGGAAAGGAGAAGACACCATTCTTAATAACAGACGACCGAAGAGTAACTTGCAATTCTTGAAAAACGTAGCTTCGAGATGGTACCTGCTTGGGATCTCACCAATATTTGCGAGTCTGCCAAGGTTGTCTCCCGTTCCAGAGCTCATTTAAGATCCACAAAACCCTCAAGTAGTGCAGTTAGTTAGGTCACTAAGTACACCATCACGAGAGCTAAATACCACGTAAGTCTAACACACTTGAGATAAGTAGCAAACGTCAATTTTGAAAGCAACGACACGATTTACCACTAAGGTGTGGCTAAGTGTTGCATTTGGTTTGTGAAGATGTTGATAGGATGGTTCATGCTGATCAAAGGGAAGCTGAAACACTTCTTTAAAAAACGAATTAGAGGTGAATTTCGACATATTTTTATCCCGTGAATCTGAATATAACGTACGTTTTGCCCAAAGATGTAGCTAAACATGAGAAAACACGAAAAACCTTTCACCAGTCATGACGTCATACTAGGATCTTTGAGCCGTCAAGCAAGTGTCGCTCGAGTGGGCAGCGCGTGCAATTGCGAGCCTGCCAGGTATATTCCCCTGCACTAACACCAGTCCTGACGTCTCTTTCTGACCTTTTTGATAATAGCAAGAGTGCGCATGCATAGCTTTGACAGGCGCTGAAAATGCGCGAGCGAAAGCGGGGACCCCTAAAACTCCTTATATGACATCACGCCTCAGGAAGGAGGGGCTTCAGCGGTACTTTGAGAATTAATTTCTGCAGCATCCATGCAGCGAATCGGAAAATAACCTCGATATTCATGATCCTGGAGGCCAAATAAAGACAATTTAGGTGTTTTTCCACAAATGTAGAACCACTTCAGTTTCCCTTCAAGTCCTTTCTTTTTTCAGTTAAACAAAACCATTGTTGTGGGTCACCGAGGCTCTTGAATAAATAAAACAGAAAACAGGAGAAGGGTTGGAACAATTCTCCTTCCTGTTTTCTTTAAATCAAGCAGATAAAAGCTCTGCAGCAATATTTTTGTCTTTGGTTTTAAAGAGGTTACAGACCTTTGTTTGTAGAAAAATTATTGTTTTTGCTCGTAACTTCTGATTGACACAGGTTTTCTTTTGTGGTTTACAAAGAAAATGCACCACTCAGCTTCACCCTTACGGTAAATTACTGCAGTCTAGTACACAAAACTCTCCAATTTATCTAAAGTGGGTGAAGTTCCCCTTTGTCTCTACAGTCCATGGGCAGAGACGTAAAATTTTCCGATGCCCCATGCTTTTAAACGGGAGGGATTTTTGCATAAAAAAATAGATCCCGCTCAGTGTAAGTGCAATGGAGGTATAGAACCCCTTTTCTTCTTCTTCTTTGGGACAAAGAGAGTTTTGGGGGACTAAACCACCGGCTAGGTGGCGTAAATTGCTACCCAATTCAATGTGTTCAACAATATCCATCCATTCAGGTTGGCTCACCTGGTTCAGGGCATTGGCTGCACAGGAAGTGAGGCCAGTGCCCAGCATGGTGAGGGCTAGCACCCCCGGGTCGAAGACGCCAGGCGCAATGGCGTAGCCAGCCAGTGTTGTCGTCACCACCAGCCCTGAATACGTGAAGGAAACACCTTTCGGAATGTGCACCTAAACTACAGTGCCTGGAAAGTGTCTCGAGCTCTTTGCCGCATCCAAAAAGTGGTCCCTCAATTACCGCCCACACACTAAAAATGGGTCCTCGGCTGCCACCCACATATCAAAAATGGTCCCTCAATTTCCACCCACACATCAGAGTGGTCCCCCTCAATTTCTGCCCACATCCAAAGGCCCTTCAATTTCTCCCCACACATCAAAAGTGATCCATCAATTTCCATCCACACATCAAATGTGGTTCCTCAATTCCTGCCCACATCAAAATGGTCCCTCAATTTGCACCTGCACACCAGAAGTGGTGCCTAAATTTACACCTGCACATCAAAAGTAGTCCCTCAATGTCTACCCACACGTCAAAAGTGGTCCCTCAATTTCTACTCACACATCAAAAGTGATCTCTCAATTTCGGCCCAAACATCAAAAGTGGTCCCTCAATTTTCACCCACACCTCAAAAGTGGTCCCTCACTTTCCGCCCACATCAAGTGGTCTCTCAATTTCTGCCCACATCAAAAGTGACCCCTCAACTGCTGCCCACACATCGGAAGTGGTCTCGAAGTGGCAATCAATGATGTCACTGTAGCCGAAGTGTCATGCTGTCGGATGTCACAACCTAGACGTTTGTTGCAAGAAGTACTGGCAAGAAGTAGGAGCGAACGTGAGTGTCGACGTCGCCGCAGAGTCCCAACTTTTGACTACCGAAGCTTTTGTGAAGTTTCAAGCTGGAGAGCGACCTGCAGCAGAACAGGCGCCTGCCACGTCAACCACCACGGCTGAAACACCACCAGAATCGCGGCCTGCGACAACATGACACTTTTATGACGCCACCGGGCGGAAATCATGGGAGCACCTTTTCGGACGTTGTAAATACACCAGTCGGAGATACGTTTTATGCACCGTACCCCTGCTGACTGCATTCTCAACTGAAAGGATATATGTGACAAAACTATGTAGACCAGAAACAAGTGCTTGATTATGCCTTGAATATACACGAATCAAAGTGGACATAATTCCCCGCCCCAAGCATGCACAATCGTCTGCTTGCCATTTTCCCCCTGTCCCCGCCTCACCGGTGAGACGCATCTTGCTGAGTGCCATGTAGTAGTGCGGCAGCTTGGACAGCTCTGCCCTTCTCCGGTGCCAGTTGAGTGGGGGTGAGGCGGCGGTGGCCGGAGCGGTGAACTTTTCTCCCAGATCCACGAGCGGCCCACCATTGGACATGTGGAGCACCGACGTCGGAACCTCGCCGAGGTCGATGACCTGTCCCGACCGTGCCAGGAAGAGCAGCGGAGGACCGTCGGGGGATTCATTACGCTCTCGAACGGGCTTGTGAGGTGCTTCGTCCACAGCCACCTTTGGAGCAGAGGTGGTCGCATGACCCTGCAATGATGAGAAAGGCCAGTATGAGGAGCCACGCTTGAAACACCAGTTGCCAACGAACACTTGAAAAGGCGCAGCAAAATAAGGCACACTCTTCTGGCTGCTCAAAATCCTGTACCAACATATTGGTTGTAAACATATAAAAAAGGCCACGTGCAAAGCACGCAAGGCAGTATGGGAAGGCCCTGTCAGCTCCTCCTTGCTCTTGCAGCATCTGCCACATGAAAGAGAGACGGTAGTGCAGTTGAGCGCCTGCCCTCGCCCACGCTTCCCCTGTAGTCTACTATCTACTACAGCCAGTTCTATACATCAATCCCAGAATTCTTCACTGCACCGCGGATGACACTGCACGCTTATAACAGGCCTATTGGGCACCCCTACATGCATAAAACTGACACATTGTGGTCAAATGCCTTACTACACTTGCTTGCGCTGCTGTAGTAAGTGCTCATAATGGTGAAGCTAATTTTAATGGTACCTTTCCCTGTAAAGATGGTATATCACAAAATTGTTGACATATTCCCAGAATCAGCTTGTTTCACGCTCTGCAAAGATGGTGATGAACGTCTTTTTTTGATGGCAGGACCCAGTAGAGGGTAACTCTTATGACGTGAGCGCTTACCTGCCAAGGCTGTAGGCAGTGGACCTTCTTGATGTAACTGAGCCGGCCCTTGGTCTTGATGATGTGAGCCCGCATCAAACTTGTTGGGAGCACCAACATGGCTCCCAGGGTAGCTCTCAGGGCTCACCTCATCGTCGCTGTGATTAACGAAATGGTCAGACGATACTGCACCACTTGCTCTTTAGAGGTCAGGGGAGCAAGGTCAGTTGACTACGTCTCGAATATCTAGCTCTCATCGTACTTCGCACGGTAAAACTCAAATGCTTTGTGGTTCTTGTTATTTGGAGGAAGTAAAAAAGGCACTCTACGTCCTCCAAATCGTATTTGAAGGGGGATTGCTAACGTTGCAGTCCAAGTGACCATCTGCCGACACTGCTCTGGGAAGTCAGTCAACGACGTTAGCGGTCACGGTGGCTGAGTGAAGCCGTTTTGAATTATGCCATTTATTATTCGTACTCACCTGTATATTTCTAACGTGGTTCGTGAGTTCGAGTAAAGGAAAATTGAGTCGCAGCACATGCCGGCACGCCGATCTCAAATCACGACTTGCAATGGCTGGCGGCCATCTTGAAACCGCAGCGCCTCCTGGAATTGGAAAAGGGCAGAGACTGAAACCGAAACATTAAAAATGGGACCGATTTTTTTTTACCTGCTTCACTTTGGTCAAGCCACTAAAGCAATCTTGTTAGCAGCTTCTTTTCATTCGCATCATTCCGTCATGTATATGTCACTGTAAGGTAAAATAACTTTCCGGGACTTCTCAGGGGAGGTCTCGCAAACCCCGGCCCGGCCCGCGAGGGGCTCAAGCCGGCCCAAAAGAAGCGCGCGTAAAACCAACGGCCATCGTGACACTTACCAAACAATTAAAATATATATATATATATATATATATATATATATATATATATATATATATATATATATATATATATATAAAGAAACAATGAAAAAGGCCTTGGGAGCAGTCCCCTCCCAAACCCTCCCCCAGACAACGGCCAGGATCAACTAATATCCACCGGAGTCTTCGGCCAGTCGGACCTTCGTGGACCCGAGGGTCCGATTTCAGCAGGGTGATCTCCCAACTCCCCCCCACCCCCCATCTCTCCAGTAATTTATTCGTGCACTCTCCCGTCTACCCAATTAGCAACATAATGAATTTAAAAATATAGTATATCTATAAATGTACAATATAAACAGGACACAACCTTACATGTTTGCTGTATTTTTGTATTTACTCATTTAGACTTATGTCTTGATTATTCCTTCGTTTATATTGTCTTATTTTATTTTCTGGCAGTTGAGACCGCAGCAGATCCCTAATTCCGACCCTCAGCCAAAACATTTGTAGAGCCCTGTGGACAAGGAAGAGGCCAAAATAAAACAAGTATAGCATTCCATTCCTTTTATTAAAAACATCCACACTTGACAGGTATGTACAACGTCGAAACTTCAAAACATTCACGCAAATTCTCTCTGCAAAAAAAAAAAAAAAAAAAAAGGAAGAAAGACGAAATATTTAGTGCTATTGTAATGAAACGTTGAAGCAAGGACTGGCCAACATGAGATGATATGACAGCTCCAACAAATAACAGACTAAGCCAAAATCGCTGTATGGAAAGCACAAGAGATTGATACAAATTAGAAAAAGATGTGCTTCAAAGCACAAGCAACAAACATCATGCTCATTGCCCCTAACAGCATGCTTTGAAGGCCTCTTCCTGTTTTGAGCATTGCCACTTGCTCAAGTCCTTTCATAGTTGGCAATGATTGGCTCCCCATCTGTTCTGCAGGAAGGCAAATACACAGGCTTGATTTAGAGTGCATGAAACGAAAATTGGTTTCCCATAGAAACAATGCTAAAGGTAAGTCAGCACCATCATGTTTGTCAAAGTTCATTTGCCTTCCATTAACTTTAATATTCAAAGATAATTAACACAGTTCCCAAAGTCAGGCTTTTGAATTGGACAAGGTAGGTCAAATCCCAGCAGCTCAAACCCAGCCCAACACAGTACACAATAAATTGGCTCCACTCTGCAACTGGGAGGACGCTATGCTCTGTTCACCCTTAAGCTGAGACTAGAAGCTCTGCCTTCAACATGCTAAGTGTGAATGCAAAGGCACGTGCAACCAAAGCATAGCGGAAGCCAGTGAGCTCACGCTGAAGGCGGAGCTTCAAGTTTCAGCTTAAAGGTGAACGGAGTATAGCAATTACAACGCTGCATTATTCACCACTTCCTGCACAACAAAAATGAAGAACTAAACATGCTTTTCTTTAGAGGTTAACTGGTACCAGCACTTGCTGGCACCCTTTCGAGAACCCTGCCACATCTGCTCTAAAGGTGGTTCATGCTAATGGTCAGATTCTGATCATCGACCTTTAAGGATGGTTTGCACACTTGCAATTGATTCCGACCGACTCCTATGCAACTGGTTTTTAAGCATTGCTGCTACGCAGCCCGCTGTAAGCTTTCACAAGCGCCTTAAAAACTGGCTCTGTCAAAGTCAGTCGCAAGTGTATGAGCAAGCCTCTAGGGTTCACCAACGCTTAAACAAAAGCCGAATGAAATTCATGCATGCAAAATTGTCAACAGTCCACTGATGCTTTGATCAGAAAAAAGGCAGTCTGCCAGGGTCACTCTTGGTCGCTGTGTACATCAGCTTGAGTGGACGACCCCTCTCCCGATTCGCTGCTCCCAGATGGTTCCTTGGGCTTGGCTGTGAAGAAAGTTGTGATCTCCTTCTGCCACGGAGGGGTGGGCCGTGGGCAATAGGCATTGCCACCGCTGTACCTGTCTGGAAGGGAAGGTTGCAGCCACTGCACTCTCGGCACCACGCTTGGACCATAGAGCAACATTACAGCCCAGTTACGGCTCAAGACGTGCAGCAGTAAAGGCTAGAGGAGCGAGCTGATAGCTCTGGTAGTGGCTCCCGGTGCATGAGAGTCTGCCTAAATGCTCATGCATGCACCATGCATGAGCAAGACACATGCACTTGTGGCCTTCACTGAGGTACAAAGTGCAGCACTGCACCCAAGCAGCACACATGGTCCTCTGGATATCCTCAGGATGTCCTGACGTTCCAGGGATGTTCTATGGATTTGTATAGGACATCTGTGCTGCTAGGGTGGTAGCATATCATTGGCTCTTCTCTTAGAAACGGAAGGATGTGGTGCAAAGTGCTTATCCTGGGAACCAACCAAAGCAGTAAAATTTGGTGCTTCTTATTACCCTGTGCAAGTAATATGCTAACAGTGTTGCAAGCGTAACTTCTAAGGTGAAACAGAGTAAACTTACTCGTCATAACTTCTTTTATCACCTAGTTGGCACGAGGCTTAGATATAGTTTGGACCGGGAGGGGAACAAGATATGCGGAGTGCAAGTTCGTCTGCTTCTTGAACAGTAGTTGCTATGACGTCAGAATGCGGAGCCCTTATTGGCCGATTGAAAAGAATTGTGTTTAGACCTCAAAGCATCAAGCATTGAGGTCTACCCACTGTCCTTTCAATGAAAGCTTGGCGTTGTTCTGATGTCACCGCAACTCCTGCGCAAGAAGCGGACGACTTGCTCTCCGCATACGCCAACAGAGAGGCTGCTACACACCTTGTTGGTAAGTCACACCCAGCCTTAGACATTGTTTAGCATACTGAACATCCCTTGCCATGGTTTCTTATCTCCTGTCCAGCTCAGTAATTAAGGATGATAGTATATTCCTTGATTTAACTGTGCTTCTGTCTTTTTAACACCACAAGCTCTACTGAAAAATGTTAGCCAGTAGCTAAAATCTAAGAGTCGCACAGACAGCTATTCCCCAACAAGACAACAGATTACATGCCTTCCCTTGCATCAGAATTTCCGGCCGCTTTGAGGGTGGCCAGCGAGACACGTTTTCATGCTATTGCTTGTTTCAACCCCCACTTTATAGCAAAGTGGAAGCCTTCACATGACACAAACACGAGCATGTAGCCCTGAACGGTGCTTGCACTGCACGAGTTCACGCCGCGTGCCTGGCAGAGAGACGTAGCCCGGCAACCACTTTTGTAGCTTCTGCTATGCTTGCACTTTAAGTAAAACTGAGCTTAGCAGTCCGGAGTGTGAGATGAGAGAGGGAGAATATAGATTACATTACAGAGAATTAGGGAGACCGAGACAAAGGGAATCAATGGCAATGAGGTGCGCTTGGGGCGGAACAGCACTGGTCAAGCTCCAGACATGTGAACGACAGGCCACCCAAAGGGTCGCAAAGATGGCCGAATTATGACGTCTAGGATGGTCAGGGACTCAAACAATATAAACACTTGTGCTTTGCCCACAGAGGACTTTGGAGCTCATAATACTAGGCGCTTTGTGCATAGCAAATTTCGGCAGGTCACCATTCGGCTATCTTCCCGACCCGTCGGACGTTAACATGTCACGAGTCTAGCCCTCCGCTGCAATGCACTACACTCGGGAACAAAGCGCTCGACGTATCATTCCGCAAACGGCAATGGGCACTCGGTTAGATAAGTCGCGTTTCTTCTAAATTGCGACGCCTACCGTTTGCGTTCTTAGAGCTGCTAGATGACCCGGCTCGCGATGACGAGGCTCCTGGACTTCTCATGGCCTTCGAGGGTGCCTTGGCACCCACGGCTGAAAACGCAAAAAATAGTAACTGGCTGGAACGACACTTTCTCTCGGAAAGAAATAACACATCCGACGTGCTCGTTCTAAAGATCCCAGGCAAGCAGTCGTACGGCACCGGGAATATCTATCTGAAGGCGGAGACGCCGTGACGTCCAATCGGGCTGACGAACTTCCCACTGTATCTAAACAAACGCAGAACACAATTTGATCCAACTAGCCGACTAGCCGAACCCCTTGAGAAAAGTGTCGATTGGCATAAAGGAGACATCCAAATTGGCTCACCTTTCGAAGCGCTGTCTCCCTTCGTCCGTACCATTTTGCAAAGGTTTACGTTCGAAACAGTTTTGGTAAACAAACAAACACGGAACCCACCAAGCCAACGTTACATCGAACGTCGAAACACGAGCGAAAGAGGACTGCGAAGTGGCGCCAAATCTTGCAGTCGGCGCGAGTTCCCGCCTTCCTTCCCGCCACTGACCGCTTCCCGCGAAAAAAAAAGCCCCGCACTAAAACAAAAAAAAAAAAAAGAAAAAAGAAAAAGGCTTTTGTAGTTATAATTGCAAAATATTAAAATTGCTCGAAATAGGCTCCCATATTTATTGGTTAATATTGTGCTAAATAAAGTACGGCGTCGTTTAACACGTTACATATAATAATGTTTTTCTGCGGAACTCGGCGGACCGCCGAACGCGCCAAGTTCAAGCCGAACATAGTGGCCGATCAGAGTGACGAAGAGCCCAGCGACGGACGGGATCCTAGTGCAGTTTTACAAAGCATGGCACTTTAGATACATACATTGAGCTAAAGCTTTAGGACGTGTGCTTTGAGTCTACCCACTAATCATTCCAACCAGAGCTCGATGTTCTGACGTCCTCGCACGCTTTCCCTCAGTTTGTACAGGCATCTATTGTTAGTTATCACAATTAAAATGTATCCTACTAACTGCCATCGAGTTCATTCATAAGTGCTCGGCAACTGATCGCTGTCTCTGCTCTCACACTGGGCGTAAATCGCCGCAGCTATGAATTTTTACAAGGCTTACTAACAACTAGAAATTCGTAACAAACTACTCCTTACCCTCTAGCTCGAATTATTTTAACTTGTCCATCATGCCACAAACCCCATTAAAACAGCTAGTTATGCCTTACAATGCTGCACGTGTTCTGCTTTTTTACTAATGAATTTATATATCAGTTTCACGTTCATACCATTTTGTTCTCACAAACTCTAGCCATTGCTAATTAGAAGTACTTCCCCAGCTTTCCTTTGGTGTGTATTGACCCCAGGCAGGCACCAAGTCAGTGACCATGGTATGGTCGCAGTGATGAAGGAAATGCTCATGAGCACAGATGAACGTAAAAGATACCCGTCCGAGAAGTGTCTCCTTTTCGTTGATCTGCAGTGTGCACACTTTTAGTGTGCATCTGTTTGGGTGATGCGAGCCTGTGGGAAGGCCCACAACTGCTGCTGTTGTTTCAGTCAAAGGGAAGGGTCGGCAAGGAACACTTCACCCCCAACATGCCAACCACAAGACACAGCAGTGCCGAAAGGTGTTGCAGAGAAGGACAGCTCATAAGGACAACCCTCCAGCGAGTGTTTCTGGTTTCCTTCGTGTCCCAAAGCCTGCTCCGAGCACATAATTTTTTATTTCTTCTTTACAACGGCGCCTCTAGGAACCTGTGACCCCTACGATATCATCACACAGAATAAGCTTTGTGGCAAAATATTTTATTGCAACACGCCGTAATAATTACTTTGAATAAAAAGAAACACTCTGGTGGCAGGCAGAAGCCTTCATTTGTTAGACTATCACAGAAGTGCCGCAGTTGGGTTTGGATAAATCACGAGCGTTCAACCTCCTCGGCGCAGCACTAGCAAGCCATGATCTCCAACTTGCACTTAAGGCAGAGCAGAACGGCACAAGTTTGGCCATCACAGTGCTTCAGTTCTGCAAAATAGTTCTAGAGAAAGCATCTTGCCATTCATTTATATAGGGCATCTGAATTTAAGTATAAAGTGCTATAAAAATGCGACTGTAAATGTATAAAAGGCACACAGTGCAATAAGTCATGTAAATCGGTTTAAAAGCTAGGTACCAGTGCCCTCAGGCGTAAGGCGAGAGTGACAACACCGACTGGTCTAAGTCCAGTGAGCATAAACAGCAAGCAACATTGGGCGACAGAGATATATGCAAAAATGTTCTCAGTGGCCCCACAGTGACCGGAGGCCGAGAATTCTCTCTTCGGTTTGTAGCAATTCTTTCATATCACTAAATATTGAGAAAGGCAGGCACAAGGAATCACCTGAAACTCAAAGGCCAGGTGCATTGAGAGACGGGGCTCACCAACTGCCAGAAACATTGTAAAATAAAGTAAAAAAATAAAATATACTAAAAGCAAGTTTTAGCAAGCTTTTCTTCAACCTTTTGTGGTGTCTCATGACACGTCAGTGCGAGCAACAGAATAGAGCGTGGATCAATTAAAACACCTCTCCAAATAAAAAAAAATAAAGACAGCAAGCCAAGGAGTTATAATTTTCATGGTGGTTGACTGCCTGTCCCAAAGCCAATCCCACATATTTCAAGAGAGCAACAAGTGGTCACAATGCCGTAAAACAAAGGCACATGTATCGAACCGGTTCAGTAGTCTTAAGAAACGCAGACAGCCACCTCTTCCAGCTTATGCTTCCTATAAAACGCATTGATCGTCTCCAGGACTGCGTCCAGAGCGACGATATACTGCCCGCAGTCCGCGAAAAGCTGCTTCGTGTAAGCAGGATGCCCGGCGTCCTGGGGCGTCGGAGCCAGGTCCCGCTGAAAGGCCTTCATGGAAGGCATTGCCCTCGTGGCCACCGCAAAGATGCCTCGCACCAGCCAGTTATGATGCGGCTTCAGCGTTTTGCCGTACGCCGCTCCGGCGCAGTCCGTCAGGCTCTCCTTCCCGCTGTGGATCTCTCGTAGCAGATGCACGATGAACTCGAGCGCCCTCTTCAGCCACAGCAGGGCCTCGGCTGCAAAGCCGCTCAGCGCGTTCTTTCCCTCGTCCACTTCCTTCTGTACCATGCTGAGGAGGGTGGCGAACTGAGCGGGGTCAGTGCTGAACTGCTTGTTCAGCTTGTCGATGTTGCCCTGGATGTCCGCTTTGATCGGGGAGAAGACGGTGGCTCCAAGAACGTTGAAGACAGGCAGAAGGGACCGACAGCAGTCAAGGAACTTCTGCGTTTCGATGGCTCCTTCTGGCATCTCCAGCTCGACAAAGCTGTGATCCATGGCCGAGAAGAAGGTTTCCACCTGTCTGCCGGCTTCACCCAACTTGACTACTTTGGGGCCATCCTGGTCGACGGCGGCATTTGCGGCGTCGGACATGCCTGATGTGAATTTTAAAAAGAACACGTTTTTTGGGCACCTATTTTGGACAATTCATTAGAACGAGAGTTTAGTCATCTAGGTGCAGGACGAAGGAAATACAGATAGGTTATGGTGGCTCATCTTATTCGTACAAGGATGATGAAGATAGAAAGATTGGGTAGTGCAAGGTGACAAGACTCAGAACCACCTGTAGCATCGCATGTTCGTCGACGGCTCTAGCAAACCTTTCGCAGCCGGTCACTGTCCAGCTACATAATGTGAAACGTCATTCATTCTCGTTCTCTATAAGTACTTTCGATGGCAGACCTCTCAGCTGCAGACGACGCGTGGGGATCGGTCGGCGAACAGACGTGGGCGATAGGTGACGAGCGACAGCCGGCGATAATTTCACGTGTACTACCAGACCTATTGCAGCGCTACAGGACGCCTTTGTATACACTGTACTAGTCGCTTAGTGAGTAATTGGGAAATGTTTTGATTGCCCCGTCACACGTAAAACGCTTATCCATTGTACGATTTTGATCAGTGATTATGACGCTGCTCTCTTCCTGGATGCCAAACGGCACCAGTACCCATCCCGCTAGTTAACCTCGCTGCAACAAAATCAACGAATAAACCGAAAGCAGTTACGCACATATAATGACAAAATTCACAAACCTTCTTAGCACCAAATCACCGTTACCCAATTCACCACCAGACGACCACGTGACCAGGGCGCGCCCGAAAGGTAGATCAAACACTCGTCCTAATGCATCGAAAATAGGCAGTAGCTTGCGCCCTCTTTTTAGTGTAGCTACCACTATTTTTAATAGCGGAGGTTATTTTGGTATTTGATGCTTTGAAGTGTTTAAAGTAGACAACAGAGGATTTTATTTTATTTTTAACATAATTTTCCTAAATTTTGTTAGCTTAATTTAAACAATTTTTGAGCAGTACGGAAATGGTACGAAACGCCGATTTTGGACGATTCCGATCATTTCAGACATCCGACTAGGCAACCGCGAAGATGCGCCATGTTTCGAAACCATCGCATCCTGCGGCGGAGCGTGATCGGCGTGGTGGGATTAGCTCGGCGCTCTGAATGTTGTCTCCACTGTAAAGCCGTGGACACCACAAAGAAACCAGAAAACCGATCACCGACGATACGTCCGCCCGGCGAAGAAGCCGTCATGGACAGCCTGGAGCTGTCGACGGGCCATCAGGCCGTGGTGGAAAAACCTGACAAGCCTCAGACATCCGTCACCGAGGGTCGGGCCGAGGTGTTGTTCCCCAGCTCGCACGACGTGTTCTACAACCCCGTTCAAGAATTCAACCGAGACATGAGGTGAGATCGGTGCCGCATAATCCGAAAGATATTACTCTCACGAGTCAGGATCCGCCGGTATTTTCCCATGCGGTGCCATTAGATGGTTGTCCGTGATATGTTACATCGAAATTCGGTTGTGTCGAACGGCGTTTGCCGGTCAAATTGGCGCGTATGAACGGCGTTGATGGATGTCAAACGGTGTTGATATCAGTCAGCTTTGGCCACGTTGTTTAGATGAACCGCTGTCACCTGTGGTAACCTTGCTGACATTAAGAAACCTGGTACGAGGTACAGTGATCATATGCATGTTGGGCAAGGAGGTTATAATGGGCAGGAGGTGGCGTCCCTATCCCCAACGCATGGAGCGAAGTGTAACGGAAGTAGGCGTGGCCACGAGCCGCAACGAGCATTTCTCGACCAATGGGAAGCCTAGTGAGTGGGCGCCGCCATTAATTTCGGTGCAAACAACCGCGTTGCCATGACATTTCCGTGGCAACGCGACTGTGTGCACCGAAAGTAATGGCGGCACCCACTGTTATTTGAAACAGCGCTTAACGGGAGACTTTTATATTATAAACGAACGCCTGGTTGCCCAGCAGAAAGTAAGTGACTAGAATTGAGACGCTCTAGACGACGCATCGTGAAGGACTTGGCGGTGCGCAACGCATTTTTTTAATAAACAGCAGCAGCAGATCGCACGAGCGCATGCAAGCCAGGAGCGCACAGAACGGGCTCGCGCTTCCAGTACTGACTTCGCTCGCACATAATGTGGAACTAAGTACAAACACTCACGCTGCAAAGCATTTGCATCGTTGACGCCCACGGCGGACGCCGACCGCATCGAAAGCTAGCCTTATGAAGCACACGCCAGAGCAGATTAGAAAGCAGACGAACCGCCGGTGCGCTACCCCACGGCCTCGGAACGGGTGCGCAAGGCAGTCTGGGATTAAACGCATCTTCCGGCTTCACTCAGGCTGACGTCATGCCGGGTCCTGTCTGTTTAAACGTCCTTGAGGATGGGCCTTTTTCAGAGTTTTGGAGTTGTATGGATGGGTGGATGGATAGATGAATCCGACTGAGCCCTTTGGATCGGGCGGTAGCTTACGCCACCTAGCCATTTTGTTTTACCATTTAAGCTTAGAATATTTAAATGTGAAAACTATATTCACTCCGACCGCAAAGAGTTTGCTCACAATCGCAAGGGGGCTCACGATCGTAAGCAAACTCTAAGGAGTTTGCTCACGATCGTGGCGCCCCCTCGCGGGAATCGCTCGGAACATTTTTGGGGGCTCCCGTACCTTTGCTCCGTCGTCCGCGCCAGCGCCTGGCCCGTCTCTCTGTCCGCGTGTTTATGTGTGTTCTCTGGTGGCATTGCTCCATCTTTCGCCATTCCGAACGTATCTTTCTGGCATCGTTTCGCGTGCATATTCACTTCGAAATGGCTGAGGACAACCCTGGAGGAATAACAAAAGCCATGTCTACTATATAGACTCCCTTGCTCGTCTTCATACCTTCAAAGATGGTACCGTCGACTTGGAGTCATTCATTCATCACTTCGGTGTCGCGTCGTGCAAGCAACTGAAAAATGGGTCGGTTTTCAAGGCAGAGTGTTATCAAATGAAAGTAATAGTGACCAGTTTGATCCCAACCCAATTATCCACCTTGTGCAAAGCTTGTGAGCTATGTTTATGAACTATAAAATGCTGATTTTGCACTCCTTGAGTGCCTAAGTTATTCAAGCTTGTTACGTTTCGTCCCTTTGCCGTCCTGTGTACTGTGCGAGTGCCCAAGGCATCGCCGTACCTGAGGCCGTAAAAACAAACTCCGAACGGGGTGAAATCTTGACGGTTTTGGTGTCGTGAAGGCTCGCCTGCACTGCCAAAAAGTAAGGAACGGCATCAGCTGCGTATGCAGGATTTCGTTTCGGAGGGGGCCGGACCAACGGGGGACAAGATAAGGGGGTAAAGGGGTAAAGAGGGACAAGATAAAAAGAGAAAAGAAAGTCCAAGAGGAAATAAAAGCGTTTTCATTTTTTTTAAGAACTATGCATTCTTCTATTAAATAATTAAATTAAAGTTGTCATATTGGTTTTGGGATGATTATGATACATAAAAATGGTGCCCAGGAAATTCCTCACCAGGAAGGCATTTGCACTTTACTTTTTTTATTTACAAGTCACGTCAACAGAAGGCACCAGAGTTAGCAGAAAACAAGAATCATAAAAACAAATATTATATAAAGCACGACTCCAATGCATGAAGCCGCCTGTCATCGGGGCTGATAAAGCAATGATGCATGAGTAGAAACGCTGAACACCTTGATGGATAGACGATAAACACTGGAAAGCTGCTTCACCATAAATTACTTCCCATCTTAACCTGATCGAACCAACAAAAATCTCACGTGACTTGTTCGTTGGTGTCGATTTCTAAGGTTTTCGAGGTCCGTTCAGAAAAGAAAGTCAAGGAAGTCACACGACGCAACAAAGGAACGATGGAAAATAGTTTGTACACTCACATATTGCACTTGGCTCTCGTCCTGAGGCAGCAGGTCGCACACTCGCGCCCCTATCTCGCGCAGTTCTCAAACTGCCGATGACAACTTCCGTACTCGAACCTTGAACCGCAAATCCCGCGCCTTCAGGCGCCTATATTCACTTTGTTAAGAGTTTCCCCGCCACCCAAGGAGCCAATTAGATATCGCTCTTTTTAGACCAATGGGAGCCACGTGATACAAAACAAACATATATAATACAAAATCCAATTAAGAAAGTACATGTACACATACCCCCGAAAACTCCCAAAAACCTTCGCCCTAACTGTCGACCGTCAGCCGGACATCGCTTCCAGGACAAAAACCTCGTTGGGGTGCAAGAGCAGTACCGACGCTTCTTCTCAAAATAAAAAAAGGCTACAAAACATCGAGGGGCCCCGCTGCGCTCGAGCGGGGCACAGCGCATGGTACGCTCCCAGAGCGGGGGGGTTCTCGAGGAACAATTAAGACGGGGGACGAGGGGGCCGCTCCGTGGCGACGACAAACCAGCCCCGGCGACTCCGCACGCAATTGGGGCACTTGCGAAGCAATAAAAGTAGAAGTAAACGAATATATTTTCTTTCCTGAGTAACGCTAGCAGTGCAGCCTACCTCACAATATATTTAACAAATGAGATATGCGGCCGATTATAGTAGATAAATATATATATATATATATATATATATATATATATATAGTGTGTGTGTGTGTGTGTGTATGAATCCCGCAGTGCCGGCTACTCCGCGACGACCGTTATATAAAACTATATTGGAACAGAAGAAAACGCAAAAGCAACAACACACATATACACAAAAAGCAGATTGCGGAGGCTGCGGCTTACACGCCCAATCGCGCAACCCGCAGTCCTTGGTTACGTTTATCGCGATCTGTGGGGTCCCCACAAGCTGGACCCATCTTATTTAACATTTGATGTTTTTATATTTTTTTCTTCTTACTAAAGGTTGTGTTGTATCGTTTTACACGCGTGAAAATTCAGCAAAGCGTTAAATATTAAGTCGGATGCTTCCATAATCTTAGTGCTGTGGTTTGTAGAACCTTTGGTCCTACATATTTTTGTTACATCGCACAATCCATGACTTTCATAATGCGTTGAATCTTGATTGGAGATGGGGGGTTCATTAGCAAATTAATCCGACTGATCGCCACCCTTTAATAGACTATTTAATGAATAAATTCGTTAATTTAGTATTCCTCAGTCAGATTACACGAAAGACGTTAAAACTACACATTGTTAATTATTTGTACTATGTCATAAATGACATATTGCATTCCCTTCCTTTCTTGTTTCTTTTTTTTTACAACTTCTCCACAAAGTTGGCTCCGCTGTTAAAAACAAACAAAAAACACCGCATTGATATTGATGAACCCGAGAGTCAGTGACCTTTCCCACTCCCCCCCCCCCCACCCCCCCCGCTCGAAAGTTTCGGGGGGGGGGGGGGGGGGGGGGGGGCCGCAGCCCCTTCGGCCCCCCCCCCCTGTGTACGCCACTGAACGGTATGTTAGAAGCAATTTCTCTTTGAATTCAGCACGTTTACAAACGAAGTTGGCCCTGCAAATAAGGGAGTTCACGGTTTGCCAAGGCGTTCCGTCAGGGTTCTGTCGCCGTAAAGCTTGAATCCATTTCGCACGCTTTAAATGTTTTACCAGTAACTGATATTTTCAAAGGGAGGGGGGGAGGGGGGGAGGGTACTTTTAATGTGGCAAGGTGTGAATGTGTATAGTGAACGCCTGAAGAACGGAGAGCTTTATCCAGTTATTCTTTACTCGAGTACCGGGAACGGCATGATTCTGTTACACACACCTCTCGTGCGCACTTACTATCTTTTAGGTAAAAGCAGAATGTCCCCGCCGTCGCGTTGAGAACTTGGCCACCTGACACGGGATTTGCGTCATAGGCTTCTGATGCACCAATGTGAAATACGCAAGAGTTTACTCATCGATGACCGACACTGCAGAAAAACTGCTATTATAAAAATGGGCATTCTTTTTTTCTTTTTAAAATATAGATAGCTAAATTTTGAAATAGCAGCAAAGCAAGCGTTTACGATCCTGACATATAATATCAATGAGTTCTTACAACTGAACAACTGAACTTACAACCGAAACCTGGAGAATGGTGAAGCCAACTTTAGGAAGATATCGAGCAATCTTAAAGCGTGGAAAGCTGTCTGGTATTTCGCCATGTAATGGGAATGTTGAGTTCAGGCTGGGGATGGGGACTTGGCAGGAGAGGTCATTTTAATTGCATGCAAAATTACCGAGAAATGGGATTTAAGGCATTAAAGGGGCACTAAAGACGTTTCTGAGATTATCTGTTCTTGGTGATAACTCATTGTATGAAATCTTAGCATCAAAGAAGTCGCAAAATTATGCTCATGCGACATCTATTTCTGTACTAAACATGTGATTGAAGTTAGTGCCACACCCCTTTCTGAGCATTGTGTCTGAACCAGGCTCTAGTTGAACTCACTCACCTGTGTTGTAAATCAGTTGTGCCAGATCATTTTGTCGAAGAATATGCTTCCATGGTTTTATGAACACTTCCACGAAAAGTATTAACTGATACTGTCGTCATCTTTGGTGCACCATACTGATAGTGCACGGTCCTAAAATATGGTTATCTAGTTTCATCGAAAGATGCATGATCAACAGGCCATCTGTGAGCACAGGGAAATTTTTTGTACATTTGTTTTAGCAGGAACATGTAGCTTCTTAATTTGTCTAAAAGTCAGTGTAATTTATTGTCGACATTACTAATAGACCCTTCTCGAACTTTCGAAATGATGCATAGATTATGTGCGACCGCCATTACTTGGTCATGAACTGGGAGCACGCATTGGACAAGAGCACTTCGTCAGCATTCGGGGTGTACTCGGATCGAAACGCATTCCACAGGAGCACTGTGTCAGTGCTCGGCGCGAACTCGGAACCATTCACGGGCTTCATGCCGTAAGCGATGAGACCAACTAATGGCGGCTGCGCATAATCTATGCATCATTTCACAATTTCGGAAGGGGTCTATTGTGTAATGTTTCTGTTTAACAACATTTCATAACTATTAATTTAGTGTTGCAGTCATTCAGGAGTTCATCGCTCTGCGACGCGAAGAAGCACAGCAGGAGAAACAAGTGGACGGAGACAGCCAACTTAAAGTAAGTGATAAGGGGTGCCTTTAATGCACACCGGTGCCATCCATTGGGTGACCCTGAACACGTTCAACTACACATTTTTCTATCTTTTACACCTGATTCTCTCACCTTGGGGCTAGAAATAATTTTGACCGTGTTATAAGCAACTACTCATAGATTTTGCACAGACTTGATCTCAGAAATACTGCAAAGCCTTCACTATAGTTATACACAAGTTAGAAGTGTTCCAGCTGGCTATTTGATAGATAGCAGCAGTGTGCCAGTGTGTTAAGTGGTTACAAGGGAAAGCAACGCATTCAAGCACACTCAAATTCTAATCTGTGAACCAGCCCTGGTAATCTGACTTCGTGCATTGTTCCAAGGTGGAGCTATACTGTACGGTTTTGCACATAGTATGTGCATACGGCGTCATGTTGTCAATAAAAGCTGGATTACGCGGTGAGCGTGACGTCGTCCCGGCTCGAGAATTATCAGAGTAACTCGTCTCGGTACTCTGTCCCGGCGCGGTCTTCCGTGGCCCACCGCCGGTCTCTGTCTCTGTGTCATCGGCGTGCCTAGGCAAGCCCTAGTCCACTGTGCCTCGGCACAGCCTGCCCCGGATGTGTGGCTACAGCTACTTTCTCGTTTGCTTCGGCACGGAACCGCCTTTAGCCTTAGCTGCATCTTGGCAGCCATCCGACAACCGTCCCCTCATGTAACCCAGATTGCAACACCAGCCTTTAGAGAACACTTCTCTTTACAATGACGGCTTTTACTGACTCACCCCACCACTGGAAATGACATCCATTGTTGGCAATGTAGGGTGCCCTACGTCGATGTGGCCAAGCCCTTGAAAAAGATGGCCCGTGGGAATCAAACCTGAGTCTACTGTGCGCAAAGCACAGGTGTTGCCACTGCGCTACGGCACAGCGTTAATAACCCGCCCTAAATTAGGGGGTTTTGTAGTAGCCGATGCCCACTGCATGCGCTCTCTGGAAAAAAAATAACCTATTACAAAAATGAAAGACGTTTTCAATTCCCTGTAATACCGAATTAGAGTGCATCTCTTGAGGAGGAGGAGAGGGCATGGAGAGGAGGATATCCTCCTCCTGCTTTGTACCCTCTCCTCTTCCCTCCTCCTTCCTCGTGGCGTCACTCGTGACCCTCGTGACGTCACTCGTAAAGGCCTCTTGAAGGTTACTGTGAAGGTCGTGATTTTCGTCGTGACCTTCACGAGTGACCTTCGTGACGTCATTCGTGATGTCACTCGTAATCCTAAAGACCCTTGTGACGTCACGTGTGACGTCATTATGGGGAACGTACCATAATGCAATGTGCAGTTACGCCGACGGCGACGCCACTCAAGCCGGAAACGGGTGCCTAAGAGCTGCGCTCTAAAATGTTGTCATAGCACTGTCAATGCCAAGAGATCGCGCCGAAAGACACGCTTTCAAGTGTTCTGGAACAAAAAATAAACTGAAGCGCTCAGAAGAATATAGAACAAAACAAAAGAGTTTGGAACAAAAGAGACGTCTATTTTGTTCCAAACGCTTTCATTCACGCACCCCACTGCCCCACGGTGTGTGAACACTACACCGATATCGAGTTTGCCGTGACATGTCTCAGCTATCGCTGTAACCATACTGCGGGTTAACGCGGGACTGCTAAATTTTTACTCCTCTTGGGCTCACCTTCACTTTTAGCATTGCTGAGCTGATGCTTCTCGAGCCTCTTTTGCAACCCTGAACCGGTTGGGGGGGTGGGGGCGTCCGTGTTGTCTGCTCAGGTAACTGTCTTGGAAGCCCTGGCGGCCTCTGGGCTGCGCTCCATCCGGTACGCCCTGGAGATTGAGGGCATAGAGCGCATTGTGGCCAACGACTACTCGGTGCAGGCAGTGGAGAGCATCAAGCGCAACGTGGAGCACAATAAGGTGGCGCACCTGGTGACCCCCAGCAGAGCGGAGGCAGCGTGAGTGCACCCCCGGTGTCCTCTCTTCGACGCCCCCCTCCTCCCAGGGAACACTTTTTGTACATATTTTGTGTGACAAAAGTAGCTGGTCGTGCGGGATGGTGGATTTGTGCCACTGAGGACCGACTCTAAGATGACCAGAAAGGGTGTCCGGCATTATTGTCCGTGACTTTGCTTGGAGTGCAACTTTTCATTGAAGCCTCAGAAGCAGCATCCATACGTTTGTGCTGATCTGCTTAGTCTAGGCATTCTGGCCGAATTCTACCATGCTTAAGACTAGGATAAATTGGATTGTGCTATATGTGTGACTTTAGCTCTTAGGTTAAGCAACTTGTTGTTAAAGAAAATGGAGAGGTAGTCTCTTGTGCAGCTAAAGTATGTCAAGTGCTTGCCCCTGCTCTTGTGAATTATGTTTTCTTGAGCTTGGGCGGATGCCAGGTTGTCGTGTCGTGGCGCCTCGGGTCAAGATGCTTTATCCTATAGTACTAGTTGCCAGCTGCTGAATAGTCGACTGGGCTTAAAGTTGAAATTGGTCAGCTAAAAATCCAGCATATATCGCAGACTGTGAAAGTCGTTAGTATTAGTGGAGTGCCGGAACCTCCTTTACCACTGATAGGTGTACAATTTGAATAGAAAACAGCCGAAGTGGAAAGTGTATACACCCTTTTAAAAAAAATTATTTTTCATTGTATGTAAGGGTGTGTCCTTGAGCAGGGGTGTAGCCAGGGGGCGGGCTTATACATACGCATCACGTCCCCCCCACCTCCCCCTTAGTTGGGTAGGCAATGCGTCACAAAGATCACCCCTCCCCACTCCCCCAAAAGAGATTCCTGGCTACACCACTGTCCTCGAGGCAAAGCTAGTCACCATGAAAAATTCTGTCGCACTGATAGCTGTAGCTGCCCACAAGCAGGACTGTTTTGAAGTGACTCGGGCGGCAGCAGAGTGAACGACCACTCACGACCGGTTGGTGACCGGTTGGTGACGCACACTCGCCAATGCTCGAACCTGATTGACGTATCGTCTGAAGTGACTCGGGCAGGGGTTACGCTCCAGGCTCCTGATGCACTCCCACAAGGCGGACCGGTTCGACGTGATCGACCTGGACCCCTACGGCAGCCCTGCCATGTTCCTGGATGCCGCCGTGCAAGCAGTCAAGGAGAAAGGTGTGCGGGGGCTTTGCGGCGCCCCCCCCCGGGGAATGTCGGACGGGCTGACTACCGTATTTTTTGGCTACAAGGCCGCTTCACACACTTGCGACTGCTTAGAACCAGATACCTTGGAATCTCTCGAGACAATGAGAAGACCTCGGCGATATCTGTCGGGTGGCCATGGAACACTTAACATTTCCATATTATTTTTTTCTTTTTTTTTTTTTCATATCACTCTTAGTTTTTTGGTTTAACAAACTTTTGATGATGTTATAAACAAACATTTCTCATAGATAGTATGTACATTTGATCTTTGAAATGCCGCAAAACGTTCACTCTTGTAAAATGCAGTTCCAGGGTCAGCTCATAGATGGCTCTGGCGTTCCAGTGTGTTTCCTCGTCATGAGAGATTGCAAGAACATGGTCGTAAGCGAATGCGAGTGCATGTAGTCTGCGAAAAGGAGTTCTGTCCGAGGTATTTTTTCTCACGTAGCCCACACCTGGTGCGTAGACTGCTCTAGGTCTTTACTTCATCGACGTCCTACTCCCGTAAGTCGTTTGTTTTCCAACAAATAGTACTCTATGCGGGCCAAGAAAGTATTTGTCTTCTTTTCATAGGGTTTATGCGGAGCGCAAGTTCGTCTGCGTGTTTTGTAGGGACTGTGGTGACGTGAGAATGCCGAGCTCTGATCAGCTCTGATCAGCTCTGATCAGCTCTGATTGAAGGATAAGGAATAGCCCTCGAAGCAAGCTGCCCTGAGGTCTACCCACTATCCTTCCATCAGAGCGAATCAGAGCTCGGAAATCGAACGTTACCACAACCCCTGCAAAAGAAGTGGACAAACCTGCGCTCCGCATTGGTTGTTATAATTCCTTAATTGCTTTACAAGAAACAAAAGTAAGTATGAACGCTGTTCTTTATTTTGGAGGCATCCCGACGACCACGCGTGCGCTTATTTACCTGTGGTAATGGTTTTACGTCCTGAAACGGTGAGTGTTTGTGCCATCAAGATTAAGTTTGATCCACATTTTCCACTTGGGTGCAGCTAACTTGCACGTTGCCCGTAGGGACATAAGGGTGAAAGCAACACACCGACAGTCTCGGCTTTTCTTTCCAACTAATGCCAAACATGAAGCAGTGTGATCTCGATAACTGCACTGAGTGATAACTGCACTAATCACGAGCTATTTTGACAAACAAATCTCGCGCAGTCTTCAACCTTAGACAACAGCGCTGATAACGAGCTATTTTGTGAAACAAACCCTCACGTAGCCTTCAAGTTTAGATAGTCTAGACAGCATAGAACGTCGTCTTATAACGGTGTAAACTGGTCTACGAACCTTAGTCTGGAAGACGCGGTATTGGCAGGATGGACAGGGTTCTTCCGAGAAGGCGAGCCCCTCAACGGAAGACCCGACCCCAGCCCGTCTCCTTTGGCAGGGCTGCTGCTGGTGACATGCACGGACATGGCCATTCTGTGCGGCAACAGCAGCGAGACCTGCCGTGCCAAGTATGGGGCCGTGTCGCTCAAGTCCAAGTGCTGCCACGAAATGGTGAGGGGTGTGCCTCCACTTGTGAGCCGCTGCTCTGGGTGTTTTAGCACTTGGCCAGAACTTCTTAGGCCCTTGCTCTTGTGGTATGGAGGCTTTATTGTCTGCTCTTCTAGGTCATATGGAGAATGAACAATCTAACGAGCTTGAAGAAAGGGGTTGAAGTTTAAATGAGACATTTTTAAAGAAGTGAAACTTTGAAAATAGGGTGCTTCCATGCACAACACCTTCTACGACCTACGTTCCTGGGATGTATATCATGCAGTGCAGTAAGCACGAACAAGAGATTAGTGCTTTGTCACAATTTGTACAACTGAAAGTAAAACTCCAGGCTTTATCACTGAGGCTGGCTTAGCATGCAAGCACATTTCACCGCTCTGGCAGTTTTGATGTCGGTCTGCTAGTTGTCTAAAGAAACCCGACAAAAGCCCGTCATCACTTGTCCAATCCCACTGTGCGGTGCTCAGCAACTAATGGGACAACCAGTTTTTAGAATGTCATTTCGGTCCTCGGTCAGTTTATAATATTCAGAATGTCAGTGGATGCTCCACTGATACTTGGGTTTGCAACAATGTCTATAAACCACCATTGTTGGCATCATCGTGATTTCACAACAGTCTAGTTGCACCTAATCGAGGGCGAAAGTTTAATATGGACAAGGAAATTTGGAAAGATTTCATCAGTAAAGAGCCTTATTTCGGTTGAGACTTGTTCTTGGCTTGTTGGAGGCAATGGCTATGGGTGAGGCTTTGTGACTTCCGAAGCAGCTTGTGCCATCGCTGCGGAGTGAGCCTCTTTTCCCGCAGGCCCTGCGCATTGTGCTGCAGAGCATCGAGTCCCACGCCAACCGGTACGGCCGCTACACGGTGCCACTGCTGGCGCTCAGCGTCGACTTCTACGTCAGAGTCTTTGTCCGCGTCTACACCGGAGCGGCGGTGGTCAAGCGCTCCACCAGGTAGGGCATCCGTCCCTTCACGCAGAAGGCCGTGTAGCATATGTCTACGATCGTAGTAACAGTCTGATGTTCCTCCCTGTCGTTCTCGTTCTGTCGGTCGCTATAGCCCACCTTAATGTTTTCGTCCGTTGCAGCAAGCTGGGTATGGTGTACCAGTGCAGTGGCTGCGAGAGCTTCACCCTGCAGCCCCTGGGACGATGCACGGAAAAGGGCACCGGGTGAGTTGTTCACCTGCTCCTCTCAACGATCGGATGGACTGCAGACGCACGATGCACATGGGGCAGAAATGTGGCTTTCACTTGGCACGTGGCCTAAGCACAAGCACATCAAACATGTAGACTAGGGTCCCACTTTTTGCCGATTGATTGAAATTTCTTTTAGTGTGATTAGGACAGCTTCTATGCGGAAGGCAACTTTCTCTGCTTCTTGCGCAGGGGTTGTCCTAACGTCAGAATGCTAAGCTCTGATTGGTTCTTATGGAGAGATAGTGGGTAGACGTCAATGCTGGCTGCCTTGAGGCCTACCCATTATCCTTCCTATCAGAGCCAATCGGAGCTCGGCGTTCTGACGTCTCCGTAACCGCTCCTCAAGAAGCAGACAAACTTGTGCTCCGCATTGAGAACCAGTGCAAATTATGCTCTAAGCAGCAGATGTAGACCAGAATGGAATTCTACAGCAAAATGAACAAGAGAAAAGCCAAACACAATCCAATCAATACATTCTTTCAGTGCTCCTGTGTTGTGACCGTTTACCCTCATAACTGTGAATTTTGATTGTGTGGTGAAAACATTTCATGTAGTTATGTTATCAGAGCAAGGAAGCTCCATGCTGGAGAAATTAAAAAACCTTTCTGTTCTTATCTTTTCGGTGACTATATAGTAGGCTCTCATTTATTCAAACTCCAGGAAGCCATGAATTTTGTTTAAATTATCGGAAATTCATCTAAATATATGATGCGAGGTAAAAGTAGGATTTGTTATATGGATAAGCAGATATTTTATAGCTTCCGCTACACAGGCCTTTTAATCATGGGCAGGAACGCCACACATGAAACATTGGTGAAATGTGGCAGAACCCAGGGATCCTGGGTTCAATCCCCACCCCTGCCCATTGCAATCTGGATGAGCATCATACCATGTGCAGCCATGTGTCACTACAGTGTGGTGCACGTTGAAGACCCCAGGCTAGCGGTTGTACTGCACTGGCTAAATTTCTCATCTACAGCTGGGAGAGAAGTCGCCCGTTGAGGCAGACGAAGGTCTAGGATGTATAAACATACACACTCCCCAATTTTTTTTTGTGAAATGTATGAGATAAGTTTGTTTATCCCTCAAAAATGTTTTCTATCATGTGCTGTTTAGTTAGTGCATGACACCTCAAAACAAAATGACTAAGTTTGTTCATACAATAAAAAGGTTGTCTATTGTAGACTATTAGCCCTGTTGAGCGTACTTCTTACCGAGCACCGGTGCATTGTGGAGAAGCAACACCCGTGGAAGTGAGCTCCGCAGCTGTTGCTTCCCCACAGTGCACCGGCGCTCGGAATCAAGCGCGCTCAACTAAGCCGCAAGAACAAAAAGTATGAATTGTATGAAAATGCCATTACAAATAAATGGCTTGTATATATATTAAAGACATAGCGGGACAACCAAAATTTTGAAATTTGTTTGAATAAACAAGAAGTACTAAATATCTTGTTTTGAAGTACTTCAAGCTTAATGTGGTAGAATTCAATGCTACATTAGAGGCAACTAGTAGTTTGTCCAGTGCAGTGTAACTTTTCCACTGCAGAGCTTGTTACTTAACACTGAGGATGTCTTGGTACAATGTTTTTCTGGTCTGCTCTGAAACTTTCTCAAGTGAACAGAAGTGTTCCTTTGAACTCCTGATAGGACCTTGAATTCTTGAAAGGGCAATATACATACATATCCTTACAAGAATCCTTGCAGCTCCTTAAAAACCTTTGCCCATTGCTCATCAGTAGAGCCCTGCATACCCGAGGCTTCTCCAAAGATAAGTGAATTGGCACCGGCGGATGCAGATACATAGTCTGTTTTAAATAGCAGGAAATTTATTCCCCCGGTTAGTTTTTCATAGTCGTTTTTCATTTGTGAAACATGCAAGAATGAAGTTGAATTGAAATAATAAGGTACTACCAGAATGCTCTTCATACTATGGTTGGTCTCGTATTTGAGTCTGTCTTTGTGGTGATCTTTCAGCTTCAAGTGCAGCCCGGCCCAGGGTCCTCCTGTGGGGCCTTCCTGCTCCCACTGTGGCCACAAACATCATGCAAGTGATCCTGCTGGATTGAGGCGGGCTTTAGTGGGTGGGGCGGGGGACGTTGTGTTCTTGTGGCTGGTGTAACCAGTGTTGCCATCTGCCAACTAGAAAAATCAGCTTCAGTGAGCCCAAAGAACCGCTCCACTGGAAAACTGGGGAGTGAGAGATTTATTTAAACTTCCAATATGGGTGCTGGGGACCAACTTGGCAAGAAAGCGGAGGACAAACGAGACATTGAGGAACAATGAGCGAATTCTTGACAACTTTGCTCTATTTTTGGAGACATACAGAGTGGAGGTATGCAGATTACTAAAGGCAATTTGCATGTGCTTGAAAGTGCCTTCAGAAAACTGGCAGAATCATTAAAAGCAATTTCTGCCACCCACAGTTGGGGTGTTGAGTGGCCACGTGTAAAAACGATAAATTTATATAGAATGAAATCTTAACTAGGAGGGTTCTTGTTTTCTGCAGCAAATTCTGCACGATTTATTCAGTCGTGTGTAAATACAATGGTGTTTGACCGAGGTAGATAGTAATAGAACGATGGGGCACAGTGCGATGTGATGCAGTGAAACACACACTGGTAAAAAGCAGATCAGTGTTGCTAGCTGGTCTTTGCCTGTAGCTAGTTGGTTTCTTGCATTGACTGTGACTGTTTATCGTACGTAACTCGGTTAATTTCTTTTTCTGAAAGAAGTCAGTTATTGTGCATAGCGACCCGGTTTTTCGTGCCGAACAAGGGATGCGGGTGAAGGGTGCTGAATCGGCACTTCTGCAGGTGGGGGGCCCCATTTGGATCAACCCGCTGCACGATCTGGGCTTCGTGCGCCGTCTCATCGACCGGGTGAGCGCAAATCCAGAGCTGTATGGCACCTCCAAAAGGATGCTGGGAATTCTGCACCTCCTCACCGAGGTGAGTGCCTTTTTCCCTTGGAGTTGCCTTGGGTTAATGCCACCAGAAGACGAGGCCTGAAATTTGACAAGAGTGTGCCACCAACCGGCAGATGTGTGCATCTTGACATCGCTGTAGCTGGCGTCTTGTAACTAGAATCGCTGTCGTCGTAAGACGCTGGAAGGTGCGCTCTGTGCGACATGGACGTGAGCTGAGCAGCACCGCGTTGGATAGCAAGTGATGTTGTCACAGGAGGAAAGGTGCGGTCCTTGTCTTCTGCTAGGTGGTATTGCTGAAACGCTGCAGACTCGAAGAGCTAGAGAGCCGTGGCATTGATTGAGTGTGGTGGGCATTAGCGTGGTCTCTAAAGTTTCCAAGTTGTAAAAAAGGGGTCGCTGGTCGGTTCTTTGTTTACTTGCGGTTTTATTGCCTTCAGAAAATAAATACTACTTTGCAAAAGTTTCTCTGATATTACGGAGTTGAAAACATTGAGGGCTTCGCAATGTCCACTTATGCCTTGCACCGACAGGCTTGATATCCCTATGCTCCACGACAACTTTTCTTGGCAATGCAGTGGAAGGTACGTCCCGCGTCCCCTCTCCCATTTTGAGTGTGCGTAGGCTCTGGTCCTCCCCCATTTCCGGGGAGAGGAGAGCCTGCACACACTCAAAATGGGAGAGGGGACGCAGGACGTAGGTACCTTCCACTGCATTGCCAAAAGAAGTTGTCGCGGAGTATAGTCCAGAAATGTTTTGGTTGTTGCAGGGCCATATTGAAGAGAAAGGTCTTACGTGTCTTAGTTAGTATGCTTGGAAGGGGAATGGGAGGGATTTGACTGACGTTTTGTCGGATGAAGAAAAAGAAAAGGCGAGTGTAAAAGGAAGGTGCAAAAGCGACGGATGAAATGGCAGCATACGACGAACTGAAGAAGATTGGGAATCGGACGACGAGGCATCACTTCTGCACTTGGTTGCTCCTTCTGCTTTCCGTGCTCACGTCTTAGTTTCCTCTATGCAAGATGGCGGCCACCCAGTCAGACTTTAGTCCTTCCATACTCTCCTCACTTTTTGCTCCATCCAGTTGACTTCCAATTATTCGACGGGACATGCGAAGTTGGGTTGAATTAGGTATCAGAAAGCTGAATTAAAAGATGGTGAGCTCGAAATTTTGAATATCCGGCACTTTAGGTAACATGGGCTAACATTTTTATAATGAGCCGCCGCACACTGCCTCGCGACGGTGGCAGCGGCCACACACAAAGGCCAGTTCTTGCGCGTCATGCACGGCCAATCATGCTTGTAATTTGGCCACCGCCGGTTCCCTCTAGGTTGCATTAACCAATATTTTATATTTCAAGATCGAAATGGACGAGTTTTTTTTTTCTATGGAAATGTATGGGCTTTTGCCAGGACCTTTGAACAGGGTCAGATTACATGATAAGTCGAATTAACCAAGGTCCAATTAATGCAAGTCGATACTTAGTTTTCAGCGATGCCGAATCTTGTCCTCGGAATATACCCATCTGACCTGTTAAAATGTGAAGCAAGTAAAACTGTGTCAGTCTGCGAGTGACATTATGCGTGGCGTGTTGCAGGAGCTGCAGGTGCCGCTTTACTTCCTCTTGGACCGACTGGCATCTATCGTCCACGTTTCCACACCCAGCATGCTCCAGTTCAGGTGACACATCTTTCTCGACTTCTTTCTCTCCTGTTATTGTACATCCGTTTTTTTGCACGATTTTAATGTAAGGTGTCAACGACATTGATGTTGATTCGCGGTTGCAGCTTTGGAAATTATACTTTGTTACATAAACTACAGCTTGAACACAGTTGGAAAGGGTGTGGCGAGACCCTCAGTGTTTTTTCGTGGTATTCCCAGGTCTGCCCTGCTGCACCAGGGCTACAGGGTGTCCTTCTCCCATGCCTGCAAGAACTCTGTCAAAACAGACGCTCCAATGGACGTTATTTGGGACATCATCCGCACCTGGGTGCGTGACTCGTTTGTTAAATTTTTTTTTCGGAGAGAGTCGATTTGTAAGGGTCTGTGGAACTGACATTAGGGTGCCGTGGGTCGAGCTAGTTTCGCGGCATTGCATGGCTGCGCTGCAGAAAAATGCTAATTATAGCGGCCTTTCGGCGCGTTGCGTAGCGGGAGTTCATTCATAGTGTTGCCTTCCTGTCGTGGCATCAGTGCATTGCGGGAAAGCTCATAAGCTGTAACTTTTGGCGCTTGAGACGCGTTATAATAATATTCTTTATTTGTTTCATATTTTAAACGATAGAAAAGGACAAAATGCTGCATCAGCAGTTTGATGGTGGTCCAACAGACGATTTAAAAAACAATATCAAGCTACTTCAAGCACTACCAAGACAGTATCAAGCAGAATGGAATTACATGGAATTATATGATAAAATTTCTTTTGGCCTCTTGAGGGTTATCTTCGGCTTACATCCCAAGCATACTTTGTGCATGCTAAGATGTTAACCGGGCCTGCCAACTTGCAGGGTTAAGAAGTGTTGGGAACAGTTACCGGGTGCATGCAGCACATCGCTTTGAACTCAACTCGCGACGCATTGCTTCGAAAGTCTGCTTACACGGTGGTGACAGACGGGCGGTTCTGGTCTTCTAGAAGCTGCAGCATCCTTCTAACAAGGCGCTGGAACCAGGGTCACCAGCCGAGGGCATCATGCGCACCCAACCCAAGTAGGTGTGCATTGTTTTGCGAGTCGATTTTTCGCATTTTCATTGCAAACACCATTGCCCAGAACTCTAATTATGGAAGAAGTGCATTTTTGGAAAAATAGGTTAACTACACAAATGGTTCCTTTTGGCATGCCTACAGTTGTCTCTTGCCAGTCAAACCGATGCTGACAAAGTCTTTTAAGTTTGTTTTCAGCGATTAGCCAAACTTTCGACTCATTCAAGGAGTTTACAACTTCAGTAGAATTCCTCAACAGCTACAGGTCCGTCCAGCGATGGCAATTTTGTCTTCCGTTAAATTATCGGTAACTCAACCACATAGTCTACAGGTACATTTGAATATTTGGCTTCCCAAAATCCTGCCTCCACCATACTTCGTCTCACCTTACCATAGACCACGGAGGATGCTACGAGCCATCGAAGCCAATCCAATCCCGTGCGAGGGTCAAATGGCCTTTGAGAAGGGTGCAGAAATTCGCGGGGCACCTAGTCACGCAACACGGATTTGCTGGGATGGCTCGTAGAAGGTATCGTGGGGTTTCCGCTCGGATCTAGTGCATGCTAAGAGAAACTCGTGCGAGAACGTGTAAGGTAATTAGATGTGTATTGGCCAGCTGGACAAGAGGACCTTCCCGTTCCTTCTTGTATGCCCTTCCACAAGTTCGCTGGTCCACGATTTCGCTGGTCCACGATTTCAGAGCCACGGTGAACTTTGTAATGCATCCGGAGGCCAATCCATCGTCGAGGGAACAGCAGCTGCTCCGGTACCAGGTGAATCCTGAGCGGTACTGGGGCCCCAAGGCAAGAGCCAAGACCAGGTGGGTACTGCTTGGCGACGGCTCGGCGACCGCTTGGCGACTGCTCAGCGATGGCTTGGCGATGGCTTGGCGATGGCTTGGCGATGGCTTGGCGATGGCTTAGCGATGGCTTGGCGATGGCTTGGCGATGGCTTAACGATGACTCGTCGGCCGCTCATCAGACCATGCCGAAGGGTCCTCTTGCCACTTGACAGCAGCATGGCCGACCGAATCCCGACACTTACTCTTGTTCGCAGCCTGTGGTCCAACAAGGAAGCGGAGAAGCGGCAGAGGCATCAGGGCAAGCGGAAGCTCAGGGCACTTTCAGACGCTGATCCCAAGAGGCCAGCTCAGGCAAGTGCCGTGGTCGTCTGGGCTTCGATTTGCTGGGCTGCTTTGGTGTTTGGCACTGTGAATTTCTCGAGATGCCTGTCGAAACACCTAGCTTTTCTCACTTCACTTTTTCCAACAGAAGCTTTTTAGAGTTTTCAGGTGTCAGTCGATCCCTCCTCAATCCTTCCATTCCTCTTTTCTGTGAACAAGCGAGAGGTATATACTTGGCATCAGCATTTTTGTACGACATAGTCGAGGCTAGCCTAGGTTCCACAGTCCCCCTGCACTGCTGCGCGAACGAGTCTTCCGTCTCATTTGCCTGCGCCGTCGTGCGAAGGAGACGCCAGATGAAGCCTCACGCTCGTGCACGCAGCTTGGACAGCGTTCGAATGCTGTGGAAACTATACTGGCCTCGACGGCGTCGCTAGTCGAAGCCGAGTTTAGTTTCTAGTGCATTCGAGTTGTGTGCTCTACGTCTGAAGTTCGCACTGAAATGAGCAAGAAGCTATTTGTAACAAAGTGGAGATTGCCTGCCGAAGAGCCAGTTTCTTACGTAGGAAATCCCCCGTAGGGATCTGACCCCCTCTGTCTCCTCCACGCAGGAGACCTGCCAGCAAGCTGCCCACACCACACCAGAACCCACAGAAAATGAGTAAAGGCGCTCAAAAAGAAAATGGCTGAAGCTGCCTCCTTTTAAAGACGCAGTTTACATCGGTGGTCTCTTGCACACACTTCTGCGGACGTTTTTGGTATAGTATCAGGACGCGAGAGCCGCATCCTGTGCCTCGACCTTCTGACATTTCATCATCTTGTGCCCGAATTATGCGGGTACATTTGACTGCAGTTACGCTTGATGACAGTTACTTCTTGGACAACTTTCTGCGGGTACGCAGTCAAAGTGATGGGCGCACGCGAGCCTGCGTATTTCGGGCACCCATCAAAGCTGTGCACGCATACTCTTCACTTCTGAAATAGTTGTCAGAGAGTATAGTGCGATGATTGTGATTAAGCGGAACTGCGGTTAAGGGTGCCCGTGTATTACATTACTTAGCGCATTTCCTTCTCAGATAGTAGTTGTTTGTATTCAACCTCCACCTGTAGACTCTGTATCTGAGTCTTGGCTGCATCTTCAAACTTTATCCATAGTTGTAGGGGTGCTCTATTGGCACTCTTTTTTATAGTACTCATGAGGCTATATTTCTCTTTTCTTTTAGCCTCCGCATCACGAAAATTGACTGGAGCACGTGGTGGCAAACTGTTGCCGGAAGCTTCACATGAACTAAAATGCGACATCTGAAATAGAAGATCAACAAACCGGGTTATTTACAGCGGAGCTTTTAAGGGCTAGGTTCCCCAGGATTGTGTCTGGTATGTCGACACAAACCTACCTGGACAGCTTAAGCTATCTATAAGCGACGGCGGCAAGGACACAACCAGTATGGTTTCCGCCGTCACTCGTAGATGGCGCCGACCTTTCCAGGCTCCAGCTACAATAGAAGAATCGATACTTGGGCGCATTGGTGGGAATTCATCGTAGGAAACAGCGCGAAAACAAACGACGACGACGAAGAAGCACACAGTGTATCGAGTACGGCTCCGCTGGCCTTCCTTCTTCATGAGAGTGGAAAGACTGAACTTTTTTTTTTTAATAGAGGGAAGAGCTTTGGAAGGCTGTGGACCGGGCCCGGACCATTTCTCTCCAAGAGGAAGTGGTCCTCGAAGCTGCTCGCTTCTTTGGCATCTTCTTAGACTGCAAAGTGGATTGGTACCAAGGCGGTTGCAGGTTCGTACAAACCTGTAACCAAGGTGCACACAATGGGTTCATGCAGGTTCCAATCTGAAACTTGCAGTGCCAAGCAACGAGAATCTGGAGACGTCTCGAGTTTCAGTGGTAGCGAGAATACAGTCGAATGTCTTTGTAACTGTGCGAGAATTAAGTTCAGAATCGGAGCGTAAAACATTATAGCACGTGAAACCAAAGCAAGCTTACTTTGTAGAAGTTTTTTTAAGAGCAAAACAAAACAAAACAATGGCGCCAAAGCCGGCACAGTAATCCCGCGTTAGCCAAGCGATGGAGGCATCACTGTATCGGTAAACTTGGAAAGTTACGCCAGGTGCAATGCACAGACATTTTTGTTTAACCGCCACTTGGGGCTCATTATGGCCACTGCATCTCGCTCGGACACGGGCAGTGGTAATTTACGTTTAACCGATTACTTCATACCTTGGAAAGTTGTAGTAGTACGGACTTGCACCTTGCGAGACCCTACACTTCATTTGACACAACTGATTGGAACCATATGGAATCGGCCAAAGGTTAGACATGTCGTCACCAGGGAGGCGTGCTCTCCAGCTTCCTTTCCCACAACTGCACATTACCAGTTGTGCAAACACGAAGCTCCGACAGCTCCTGCCAGAAAAGAGGACGTCTTTTTTTTTTTTTTTTTTTTACCGAATTTAGTAATGCGAATTAAGGCTGCGAATTTCTGTTTGACTGCGATGGACTGTGCAAAGATCACGTGGAACGGCCTATGACGAGGGACCACTGTTGCCACCTCTCGGCTAGCTTTTGAACCATTTCTATCTGTACTAGACAGACAAAGTCTTGCAGTAGTTGCGAAATCAAATATATGCACTACTCGTTTCCCACTATAAACTGTCTCGGTTTACAAGGGGAAACAGTCTTGGCAGAGCCTATCGCAGTCAAACAGAAATGAGAGAAACCAGCCACAAGGAAGAAAGAGAAACAATAAATGAAGTAATGATTGAAAACAAGCGTGTAGGTGAATCGATATGAATACTTGAAAGGATAAGACATTGAGGACAGGGACGGAAACAGGACTTCTTTCATTAAGCAACATAGAATGGCACAAAAATATAAAACCGCCCCCCAAAGGTTTCAACATTCTCAAAGAAGGAAAAGTGGAAAAGCCCCCCCCCCCCCCCCCCCCCTCCCTTCGAGAACATTGAAACCTTTGGGGGGCAGTTTTATATTTTTGTGCCATTCTATGTTGTTGCTCAGTGAAAGAAGTCCCGTTTCCGTCCCCATCTTCAGTGTTTCATCCTTACAAGTATTCATATTGTATTGAATAAATGAAGGCCGAGATTGCAGCCAGCCTTGCCTCGTGTGCATAGCAATCAGGTGCTTGTTGGCAGAAACTTTATTCGATAGATTCGTGCTCTCAATGAGAAACTATGTACAGCAGACGTCGGCTTGTGACAGCTAGTGGTCCTTGTGGCTCGAAATGGTTGCCCTTACGAAGCTGCCGAGATCGCTCTTGGTCGCCTTGCATGCCCACAACGGTCGTCCACAGAAAGCCGCCCCCGGGAACCGGCACTAGGGGGAGCTAACGAGCGGGGGACAAACCGTCAACATATTGCACTGGGACAGTCGTTAGCTCACCGCCAGTCCTCGCACCCAACTCTTCAACATTCTTGGGGGGCAAGGTTGTAAACAAAACAATCGTAGCGGCTTCCGCAATGTCGAGAAAACTTGTTCACATGGGATGTGCAAACTGCAAAAGTGGAGCTAACAAACCGGGAGGCCTTTTGTGGAGCAATGCAGAAAATGCTTTCCTGGGATATCACTTCTGAAACAATTCTGATGAGAATAATTCCAGAGGGCCGTTTGAAATTGCAGCAGCCCTCCTCAAAGACCTCGCTACCAGGAACAAGCCTTGCACAGAGACGCGGCGACCGCGCCAGGTGCCGACGACACTTGGTGACACCCGACGCAACACTCGGTTCGCCTCTAAGAATGCCATATCTCTTCAAACTGAAACCACCTGTCCAAGTGCGCAAACGTTATTGGCACGAAAAATGCCCAGCGCCACAACGTCGTTACCTCCCGAAACAATGGCGATGTTGGCGACTCCACGCAACTTCCTAGAAGAGTGCTCGTCCTCGCAAATCACCTCGAAGAGCTTACTCGACAAAGGCGCTAGATGTGCCACCTGGCAGAACCAATCCAGCGAATCAAGTTTCCTTTGTGACACTTTTCCCGAAAGCAGCTTTGACTAGGTTTTCAAGACGGCGGTTTCCCCCTTGGAGGTCCTATGAAATACATTTTATTAACATTTGCTTCGAGCACAAGTCGAGCGCCTGGAGTTTTCTCCACGACGTCGCACAGTGGCCGTGCCTCTTCTCAACACAGCTTTTAGAAACGAGCTCAAACACAGCAATGCCAAAAACTTCCAAAACAACTCGAGAATCTAGAGTTCCCTCCATAACAACGTTGACCACCAAAGCACTGCTCGGGTGGGCAACTCCAGACGGCATCGCAGGGAGTCAGTTTCTAGGAGCTCGTGCTCGCACGGAGCAACATCAGTTCCAGATCCACGTGCACATCTACAGTTCGTAGCAATGTTGCCCACCAGAGCACTGCTCGGGTGAGCAACTCTAGACAGCATCACAGGGCACCAGTACCTCTCCACACGGAGTTTCTAGAAACTCGCACCCTCGCGGAGCAGCGCCAAAAATGTCCGAGCAACTCTGTGACTCAAACACTGTGCAAGGAAAGCACCGCACGGGGACGACGCCTCCGTCGGGGCTGCCCCCGCAAAGAAGAAAAAGGCTTCGGGTGCTTCCGGCGCCGACAAGGCGGTCACGAGAGTTCCGGCGGTGCGAGGGGCCGTCAACTGTGCGACGTGAACACGCGTGAGAAGAGGTTCCCAAACATGCAGAGCAGTTGCTTGGGCAGGGAGCACACTTCCAGCTGGGACACCTTGCGGCTCCAGTGCTTCACATAGTCCGTGCACGGGGGGACACAAGGTCAAGGAGAGCACGCTTTCTCGAGTGAATGTTGAACAAACTGGGCCATACATGGTCACATGCATAACTACCAAAAACAGCATAGTACTTTAAAATCTTTCAGGGTGGTACTCCAAAAGTTTGGCAAGGTGCCACATTTTGAAAATATTCCGTGAAAATAACACAAATTATTTTGTGAGAATAAAACAAAATATTCTGTGAGAACACAACTTCTCAATCACTTCTCTGCACTATTCCTTGGTAAAGTTAGGCTGTCGAGTCCACTACGCCAAAACTAAGGGAAAAGGAAAAGCAAGTAAAGCTGCATGCCCGAGGAAACGGCAGTGCCGTGCGTCTTTTCTGCAACCACGTGACCCCTAGATAATGTGACGGCGTTGGGTTGGCTTGCGACGACCTGCCACGCGCACCCGCTGCAGGCTGACGTTACTTCCAAATGGGACTTCCATCGCTTTTTCGCACAATGACTTGGGAATAAAAGTGTCCTCGCGGCTTAAATTTGTCGGTGAAATACGCTGGGCAGAATTTAGTTGTCTGGATTCTAACAGCAGCTACGTCATTTTGATGACAGGCATAACACATCTCTACTTGGAACGTGCCACCGAAGGCAAATATTTCAAACAATAATTAGCGGGTTTTAAGTGATTTGCTAATTATAACCTTACAACCTCCACCCGACATCCGCCGCATTATCCTGAAGAAATAATAAATTTTTTTCCGGTGCCCTTTTTTGTGCAAGTTATTCTCAATCATTAACCCTGTACCCTACAAAAACATAGTTTTTTTCACCACAAAAATAAACTTATACATCGTAAAACGTTCGGTCTCCCAAAATGCAGCGCTTGTAGTCTAAACCATAATCTAAAGATTCAGAACAAACCGTTTCCTTATTCAAAAGTTATAAGCATGGTGGCCAAAGGATATAGAAAGGTCCAGGGGGGATGGCCGCCGTTGAGGTAGAGCACGTAGGAGTAGCCGTCCCTGGGTGCGCCCCTCACAGAGTAGTAGAGGGGCAAGAACGCATGTGGCCGAAAACGGCGGCGCTCGTAGAACTGGATGGCGCACGTGTTGGAGGCCAGCACGTGCAGGTAGACCGCCTTGCAGGCGTACGACGCCCCTTCCGAGGAGGACAGGTGCGAGAGCAGGCTGTCCAGCAGCAGGGTTGCTATGCCGTTGCGGCGGCACTCACGCACCTGCGAAGAAGCGGTGATGACGGTCCTCACGCAAAAAGAATGGATCGAGAGCTCTTTTGTAGCCACCCCGTCCTACGTGAACAACGCACCGTGCATGCGTCCAGCACCTGCTCGGCACAAAGGCCGAAATAGGTCGAGCTCGCACCCTCCTATGAACGCTTTCGGGAGAGGTCTGGCCATGTCGCGTCCCGCTGACGTCGCACCGTTCGTTGTCTATGCTTTTTATGCTACACTGCGCCCTACGCTCTATCGAGGTGAGCGACGTAAAGGATAGAATCTAAAGGTCTTGTATTGGGTAAATACAGCTCTGGGAAAAACAAGCTTCTATGCGGAGCGCAAGTTTGTCCACTTCTTGCATGAGGGTTGCAATGATGTCAGAATGCCAAGCTCTTATTAGCCGATTGAAAAAAATAGTGGGTAGACCTCAGGGCATCTAGCATTCAGGTCTACCCACTACTCTTTCAATCAAAGCCTATCGGAGCTCGGCATCGTTCTGACATCACTGCAACTCCTGCGCAGGGAGCAGACGACTTGCTCTCCGCATAGTTTTGATGTCCTCGCCAGTAGGAGGTGTTGGACCAGTCCCCCCCTTTGCCCGCACTTACCACACCGAGGGTGAGGATGTAAGCGACCTGCGCCGACGGAGAGAAGTGGGCAGCCAGGAGGCCCAGGTCCTCGCGGCTGCAGAGTGCCTGGGCCCTGACCTCGGCCACGACCAGGCCGATGATGCGACCGCCCAGCATGGCGGCCAGGGCAAAGAACTTGCGGTTGGAGGTGATGTCCTGGTACCAGGCGTCCGGGTACTCGATCGGGAACCAGTCCGTGCACAGGCGCTTCACCTCTGCCGCGTCTTCAGGCCCCAGGAAGCGCAGCTGCACGCTGCTGTCTATGCTCAGGGGCACGGGGCCGCGCATGCGCACTCCCGCACCCCGCACCGCCCCTCAACCTGCAGGCAACCACAGCGGTGTTTTGTTTTTTTTTCCTTCCTCACTCGCAATGAAATCCCTAGTAGCAACATGGCGCTCTGTCCAGCCCCATTCTTTGTGTTCGCGCTTTTTTTTTATGTCAGTATGTTCGGCGGCTACGAACTGTCCCAGCTATCGACCTGATTAAAATCCCACCATAGGTCACTTGTAAGGGGGAGGGGAGAAGGGGCACGGTGTGCGAGGTCTTTGCATCTTTGAGCCCATCCAACACGTGGCATCTTCTGTTAACCCAGGTGGGAACCAGTGCAGCCAAAGCTGGATTATGGAATTGGCCCCAGCTGGAGCTAGTTGAATCTAAAGTTTGGTGGTTTTATGTGCCAAACCAATGAAGGGCACCTGGCTTGCTCCGGAGGAACACTGGGGAATAATTTTAACCGCCCGGGCACCGAAATCTCTGCCCTCTCCGCAACAAGCCTACGTCGCATTGTAGTCGCCTCGACCGGGGCTCGAAGCCACCGACTGGCCCACTTCCGTGTGCCACTGGACAAGGGACATAGTGTGCAACGAGAGGTGACCAGATCTTTTAGCCCACCCAACTCTCCTGGATGTCACTCCGACAAGGAACAGTGCACGACTTGCCATGGTCTGTACTCCCCACCCCCGCCCCCAAAATTTCCTACACAAAGCACACAAGCTTACAGTATGCAGCTCCCCAGAACCCTTCTCAGAAATATGTCGCACCCCTAGATTGACAATCCTACAGAAGCCCCTAGCACATGGTCCCCACACCTTGTAGCCCACCAAACACTGGACATAGACCTTGGGCAGTCGCCTGTTCAGCCCGGAGCTGTTCATGCTGGAAGAGTTCGGCAGTCTTCTGAAGGTGTTGACGGGCTACAGTCGCTGGGAGGATGAGAGGGGGATCGGCGGCCAAGAGTACCGATACGTTGCAACTCGGAGAGCGTGGAACAAGCTCACGCTGCAAAACCCAGGCATCCTGGATTCAGCCCCAACCCCCGCCAGTTTCAGTCTAGATGAGCATCGTGCTGGCATGCGGTGGCTCGTCACTACTATGTGATGCACGTTAAAATCCCCAGGCTAACAGTCGTACTGCACTGGTTAAATACCTCATTTTCAGCGGAAACACCAGACGCCCACTGGGGCTGACTAACTATACGTGCTGTCTAAACATAGGCGCAACAACATTATTTTTTACTGACTCTTTGCAGCCACCTGTCTGGCCCAGCCCGGCAGCTTAGAGACAGTTTTGATTATAGTCTCTCACAACGCAAGGTCTGTACTAGAAGTTGCTGCACCTCCAAAAGTCCTGGCTTGCATGCTGGAGGCGCGAGCGAGCGCGTGCTTGTTTGTATGCAGAAAGCATGCCTACTGCTCTTGATGTCTTTCAGCCCTACATCTATCCAGCCAATGACAAGTCCCTTTTTGTACGTCGAGAAAGGCCCCACGGACATTTCGAAGGCCATATAGCGGACGAAGTGGCAGCCTTTAGACCAGGGGTGGGCTACGAAACAACCGAAAAAGACCCTGCGGCAACACAAGGCTGTCTCGCAGCCATCGCAGGCCTCAGGCAGAGCTTTCAATTGCAACAATAGGGCCCCAAAACTTTCCAGAAATAAAATGTGAAACAATGCCGAATCATAAAACAATACTTTGAAAGCCATACAGTAACACTGGTGACGCCGCGCACACACTGCAAACACATATCTGGTTTCTTCTGCGGATCGAAATATGGTTGACGGCAGACTTCGCAAAGGGGCAGCATAGTCCCACAGGTAGAAGGTATTCTGGATTAATTTAGTGCTCGTAGGTTTCAACACAACAGGTGGAAAAGCGATCCGACATCCCCACGAGGACCACAGTACGTAGAGGTGCACACGTGCTGCAAACTAACTAGTTTCTCAAGCATACAGTGTGCAAAGCACATGGTAGTGCCGCCAGCCTGTTTCCAAGTTTTATGAAGATCAGTTCGCTTTCTGTCGGATTCCCAGTCGTTTGGTTTGTTGTGTTCTTCCTTTTCTAGTGTTCCGGGTTTTGCCAGAAAAGCGTATGTTTTGAGTGATCCTTGAAACATCTTTCTTTTTTAGGTTTTTGGGGGGCACTGTCAATGTGAACAGTGCTGAAAAAAAAAAAAAAAGTATTGTTTTTATTGTATAAGAGAGATCACTGCTTCTCAGTGCTATTATAAAGGTTGCCTTGTCGTACTGCCTATGGCATGGGATTCCCCATTTCTCTCTCTCTCTCTCTCTCTCCCCCCCCCCCCCCCCCTAACATTTTGTGTAGGATTTGATGCACATATACAAGCCCTTTAGTAATCAAATAAACTTCATTTGTGTTCCAGACTTTGTGTTTGTCCGTCCCTTCTCGTCCCAGTCTCGGTGTTTTTAGTCAAATGTAAAAACCTGCCCGCGATTGCAAAGGTTGTCTGCGCGGGGAGCGAATCACCGCTGTCCGGTGGGAGTCGCGCGGGGCTCGCCAAATTCAATTTCCCGCTGGCACATGAGAACCGTCGTCCTCCACGCTTCCACACTAATGAATGAATTTCCCCACCGCAAGGGAAGTGGCGAGCATCACGAGTTTCCTTCGCTTCGCCCAGGCCCTCGGCTGCACTGAGTAGGGCGCTGGCCTCTCTGCCTGCGTGAGCTTATAGCTGAGCGCGTACGTTAGAAAAAAACTCGCGTATCACTCGACGCTCTGCGCGAACTCTCGGAAGAGAGAGAGCACGCCAAAGCACAGCGGGTGTTCTTCGAGCGCTATCTGGCTCGCTTCCCAAAGAAGTTTTACGCAGTAGTTTTTTGGTGCTCGATAGTTATCGATCTTGGACTCGCGCGACTCGTAGTTATTAATGCGGCTCGGGGGTTTCCTCCGAACATGGGGGTCACGCCACATCAATCACGAGCCGCTCATTTCATTTTCTTTTTTCTCGGTTGGACGGAAAATGAATGGGCATCGAAGCTGCGCCGAGAGCACTTGGCAACACCGAAGGTTCGGCGCAGCATGGGCACGGAATTCATGGGAACTTGCAGCGCAACTCACCGGTGTTAGCGAATGAGGATCATAAGGCCCCGCGAGGTGCAAGCCCGGGAAAATGACGAAAGCGTGGCGATACTTCCAGCTTTCGAAAGCAACAATCGCTGCCGAGCATCTCCGATTTTGGTGACTCGGTGGGGCGGAGACGCTCTCGGGCAGATACCAAACCAAACTGCTGCTGCTCGGTGGGTGGACGATCGTAAGGGCACCTGCCGAGGAGAAAGCAAAGCAGACAAGAAATCGCGTGAAATTTTTTGTATTAAACGATTCCTCGACGACATTATTTTATAATAATTTTTCAAATTTTTAAAAGTTGTCTCGGTAGTGGTGATGTTTTTGCAATTAAGCTTAGGTAAAATGAAGAAGAAAAAAAAAAACGTAAAAAGGAGGGAGTGGCGCGGTTGGGCGTGGTTGTAGTGTCATTATCATCGCCATCGTTGTTATGCAATAGTATTTTTAGCGGGAAACTCGAAGTGGAGTTACGGGGATAAAAGAAGGCAACATGAGCGGCAAAAAGGACCAGGAAATATGTTTTGTCCTGTCCTCGTCTTTTTGACGTTCATCTTGCTTTCCTTTATCCCCGTCACTTTACCAGCACGGTTTCATTTATTTTCTTTATTTATTCGTACACCGCCTCAAGACGGAACAATAAAGCGGGGATCGAATACGAACAAAACAAAATGAGGCAGCGAAATCAGAGCACCACTGCATGGCCCCAGCGCCCTGACCGCAAGCTTCGCCGCTTCAAACCGTCGCGTGCCCGTCAAGCTTCACTGCTTTGCACCGGAGTGCTAGGAGAAACGGCTGACGTGCCAGAGCGTCTCCGTTGGCTCGATACGGATTTTGAGGTTTCATTTCTTCGGGTATAAATTATAAAAAATTAGAGTTCCACTTCCAATTTTAAAGAACAGTAAAAACAAACAAGAAAAAAACAAAAAAACTTCAAGTTGTGTTTAAACTATGTGTTTAAACAATGTTACATCGTGTTTCAGTGCCAGTGCGGTTTTTGTTTTCTTATTACAGATGCCTAAATGTTTTTCTTGTAATAAAACTGTTCATTTTCATAATTATTCTTCCCAGAAAAGATTTCCAACCATGATTTTTGAACTGCTCATACTAAATTCACATAAGATGTAAAATGTTTTTAATACAAAAAATTAACTGCCAATTTAAAAAAGAAAATAATAATAATTAATTCTCTTTCTCTCTCTTTCTTTTTTTTCATATTGAAAAATACTCGAATTCAATTTGAGGTAAAATTGTAATATTCGTATTTAATTAAAAAATATAAAACATAAAATCGCACTTTTTTCTTTTTTTTAATAATGCAACGCAGGCGGTGGCGTCATCTGCTTTCGACCGACCGCTTGCTGTGCCTATTGGAAGATGGCGCCACGGGTGCAACTCTCGGCTGACTCGGTCATCTGCGTCGAAGCCGGTCGTTGACATTGTGAAGAAGGTAATGCGCTAAGTCCTCACAAGAACGCCGTGCATTGGGCTTTCACGCAGTAAAATCAACCACTAATATAGACCTCTGATGAAAGTTTGAGTTCATTACACGAAGTTCTTAATTTTTCCAGCTAATTTCAAAGGGAGCCCTTGGAATCATAACACACTGTATATAAAAGTTTCACCAGCAGGTTCGGCCAGAAGTAATGATGCAGGAGCTACAAGCAGGGGCGTATTCAGAGAGAGAGGGGGGGGGGGGGGGGGGGGGTCCGGATGTTTTGACTCCCCTCTTGAATTCTGCATGTGTAAAAATTAGGGCGTGGAAACGGGAAAGGGGGGGGGGGGTCTTAAACATACGATACGCTGACCAACACCTGCCCCCCCCCCCCCCCCCCCCTCAAGAAATACCTGCGTCCCCCCCTGGCTACAAGGCAGTTTCTACATCAGCATGATGCTCTCAAACGCTGTTTGTTTCCTCATGCGCTCACCGGAGGAAATTCCCTAACGCAGTAGATTCTAACCAACCCTTAGTACCAAAAATACTCATTGAAATTACTCTACCAGACAATTCACGGCGTGATTTTACATCAACCGGGAGAAATATACTTTTGTTGAGCGCGTCGGTGATAAGGTTAAATACTAGAAAGAATAATGCACGAAGGACGGGCAAAACAGCACATCATTCGACTTGCGACGCACCCTCTACGGGAGAAATACATATCATTTTTGCGTGTTATAACGTGCTCCAGCATTCAGTTTTCCCTCGCACTCTCGAACTGGAATAACCTACCCGCTGAAATAGCAAACTAGTTCTCTAAACGCCCTAAACTGTGAAAAACAAAGAAAAGAACACAGACAGAGAGACACACACACACACGCGCGCGCGCGCACACACACACACACACACACACACACACACACACACACACACACACACACACACACACACACACACACACACACACACACACGCGCGCACGCACACACGCACGCACACACGCACGTACGCACGCACGCACGCACACACGCACACACGCACACGCACACACACACACACACACAAACGCACTTTGATGTTGAGTGAAGTTTCATTTTATTTTCGCTCATACTTCTTTCACGTGTGTGGATGATTGGAGAACGCCACTTATAAACGGAATCGGAAAGGCTTCAATCGAATGACGAAGCAGAATCTGTCAATAAAATACACACCTCTGCAGCTGCACGATCAGCCGCCGCGAAGCCACGCATTTCTATGAAGGAGCAGCATTATTCTCGAAGCCGGCCGCCATCTCAAGGGCACAGTGCAAACAGAGACAGCGCAGTGGACGGTGAATCACAAAAGATTGTTCACGTTCAGTTGAAGTAACTCTACAGGGGAGCATAAGCAATTGCGCTACATTCGGATAGATGGAGCAGAGTTACGCGTTCAGCCATCTTGAAATTCAAAGTTATGCGGCAAAGGCACTCTTCACGCGTGCAGGAACCGTGCTTCGACGAATGCGGCCGGAAGATTGCGCTCGTTCCTTCTGTTCTCATTTTGCCGACCACGTCGCATTTGATTGTAAACGTGCGGGAAATATTTCGTCGAGGTTTTGAGAAAATGCGGCAGGCAACACATGGCACGCAAATAAAATCTGCAGTAGACTTCTTCTCAATTAATTCAGCTTAGTGAACAAGCACGCCGTTTATCGTATTGGACTCTGCCGATGACAATTACTTACCGCAGTTTTTGTTACAATATGCACACTAATTCCGCCTACAGGCGTCAAATGTCGGGGTTGTGCTGTGACATTGAGGTCCCAGTGTGCATTGAATACTAGCTGGCTAGCGTTAACAACGGACTATGAATCGGATTTACGTACACGTGTTACTGGTCATCTACTTAAAAATAAAAAAAAGAAGCTGAGTGCCGAAAATTCAGTGTTAAAAATAAAAAAAAAAAAGCTTTTCCGCCAGCCCAAAGAAAAAATATTTTATGCAATACATTAGCTAGGATACCATGGTTCTGTGCTCTCATGGCACCGGAAGTGAAAAGCAAACTAGCTTGTGTGAGTGCTTTCTTTATGTGGATAATGTTTTCCCCGCGTTTGTGTTTATGCGTCAACTGCGTCAGACGCTGAAGAAAGAAGTGTTCCTGGATCTTTACTGCACACATTTTTGCATTCATGCCACGACGAATTTCAGAGAAACGGATTATGTACGGCTCCATGCAAAGGCAAAAAACCTGAGCACAGTTGACCAATGGCTAGTTGGCGGCTAGCGGCACTGCTGAGCGGCCGTAGCGAATGCTTTCCTGCACAGCACTGGATTTTTGTTTGTCACGTGATCGAATTTGGCGAATAGCGGCGCGGCGGCGTGTGGAAAACAGACGCGCTATACTCTGGCTTTTCTATAGAAACTCTATACCTTCGGTCGTCGCTCCATTGTTTATGCTTTGTTAATGCATGCGCTAGCTAGCATTAGTACCTACACGACAAAGAAAAGCTGACGCCGTCCGTCTGCGGACAAAACAGTGGAGAGGGAAGTGCGCCGCGTGGAGAGGAGGAGAGGACAAAGGGGAGAGGGAGGTGACGTCACGGGGCGGAAGCCAATGAGCGCGCGGGAAACCGGTGAACAGCGAAAGCACCGTCTGCTAAGCGTGTAAAGAGCGGGCGAACGAGTCAGAGGATCGAAAGCAGCGCCTAGCTCGGCTGGCCGAAACGCGGCACAAGAATCAGCAAACCGACAAGGGTCTGCGTGCGACAGAAGCCGGAAAAAAAGAATTAAAGGAATATTGTCACGGATGACAAGTGACGAGGCGAAAAAGAAAGATAACAACAAAGCGTCGCGGGCGTCGAAGGCGGCGACGCAGCACATTCGAACGCTGAGGCGAAAAGTGACAGTGGCTCGTTACGCGGAGTCCCTTATGTGGATGCGTGGTCTTCTGGAATAATCGGCGTAGAAAGTTCGACGCGTAGAACATTCGGACCTCAAAGAAGCAACAGCTAACACTGACCCCGTAACGAAACCAAAAAAAAAAAAAAAAAAAAAAAAAAGGCAGCAGAAAGTAGAGGAAGCAGAAGAGAAAGCCAAAAGAGAAGAGTGAAAGGGTTAGCGTTGGAGTTTCCCAAAGGGGCACCTGTGTGGCGTTTTCCAAGGGTAATTCCCTAAAGCGCGATCCAAACCAACGTGTTTCGGTGCGCGCGTGGGCCGTGCGTCTCTCGGGAATTGCGTATTTCGTGACGTCGGGCTGATTCCTTTGCGCCTTCCGGGAGCGCGAGAAAATGTTTGATGATTTCAACTTTTTCTGAAAGCGCGCGAAAACGCGCTGTGACGTAGTGGGGCGCTCCTCTTCCGGCCAATCGGTGGAGAGCACTGTATTTCCGGTTCCGCGTTTCTTCGCCGTCTGGCACAGATGCTCTCCGCTCGACCGAAGCCGCACCGTTGGCCTGACCAACGCGTGTGGTTGGGACTCAGAAAGCGCCCCGGAAACAGCAAAACCGTCACGAAATACGCAATTTCCGGGAAGCGCATCGCCTACGCGCTCACGAAAACGCGTTGGTTTGGATCGCGCTTAAGGATCCACCAACGGACCTTCCTTTAATTTTTTTTTTTTACCATGATTGATTGCAATATGAAATACCCACTGGGATCGCGTGGCAGAGACGATGGCTGGTAGGGACACTGCGTGCGCTCAGGACGATTCTATTCTACCCCAAGGGCAGGGGGGCTATGTTGCACGTTTTGGACTCCCAGGAGACTAGGGAGAAGGAAGTAACGTCAACG